TACCTAATCATTTCTTGGAACCTATTTATACTTCTGGCCTGGAACAATGAGTTCCACAATTTACCTGTGTACTGACCAAACATGTGCCATCTTTTGCCTCTTTTCAGACTTGCTACCTGACTCTTTCTGTGCTACCTATTAATATGTGTAATATGAAAAATACTGCCCCATTTCACCTTCCCACAACACTTTCAGTTTCACAGAGCACTAGCACACCCTCTGCCACTTCTTTCTTAAGAAGAGTCTGACTCTATTTGTATGTCATTGTCTCCTTGTCATCATTTTCTATGCCATTGTTGCTACTGTTTTTAAGACACTGTCTTTTCCTTAAGCATTCAAGATGTGGCTGCATCACAGACTCACTCAAACCTACAATACTGTCTTTCCTCAGTTCCTTCCTTTACAATAATTAACATTTAATTGGCCTCACTGCTGCTGAGCATTGACTTAACCTTATCAAAAACGTATCCATGGTGTCTTTAAATGTTCCCTCTGCAATATAATTATTAACTTGACACTCCTCATTCTGTATGTGTATTTAGAGCTACACTCCCCTGCGTATCCTAATTTAACCTACCTTGGGATTAGCCTGGGTTTAGTTCTCGTGCAGTTTTTTGCTCTGCCTTTCAGATTTGACTGTCCTGAATAATTTTGTACCATTTGCTCCTTCTGTCTCTGCACTCATCACCTCTTTTTTTCCAAATCACTGCTGACTGCTGAACAGGTTTAACCAGTTCTGTTCCAGTTATGGTTCTCCATTGTGAGAACTATTTCTTGTACTTACTAGCCCAAGAGTAGCCCCCCTGTCTTCCCTCTCAGCAGCTTTATTTCTCCAGGTAGCTTGATTTTAGCTCCTGGCTGAAAGATTTTCAGAAAGCTAAAAGCTGGATAATCTTGCTCCACATTCCCCTTGACTTCTCCAAAGAACTCATAATTGATTTACAGCTCTCTTAAGTCTCTGCAACGGAGCAAGATGGCCTCAGAAATGGCTTCCTAAATCCTTCCAAGACCTTTGATTCTTTGATATAGCATGCTCATCCAGGTATCTGACATTTCTATTCTACAACAGAGTTTCTATCAACTTAGAATTACCTTTTTTGCAGTTCTGGGCCTCAAACAACCCCCCCTTTTTAAAATCCAGTGTCCAATTTGTCAGTGTTCATTCTTCTGGTTGTACAAGAGATTTAAGCACTGGATTACATATCATCATTAGAGGCTCAATGATTTCATTGCTTCTGAAGAACATCTTAACAAAGAGCACATGGCCTTAGTGACTTGTCACTGTTCAATTTATCAGTTTGCCTAAAAGCTCTTCCTATTGACTCTCAGTAGGAAACTGTTTGTCAGACACAGACACACGTTCACTCCTGAACGTTCAGCTGTGCCAACTGAAGGCACCACTGTCTCCACTTATTCCCACCACATCTCCCAGAGTACACCTCCAGTAATCTGCCAGTGAGGCAGTGTGTTTGAGTGCTTCTTAATATGCTCCAGGCAAAAGCAGATGGGTTAAACAGTCTAATTGGCAGTTTAGGTAAATTAACCTGGCTGTTTTCCTGGAGCTAATTAGGAAACATGGAAACAAAATGCTCCATTTGCCAACTGATGGGAATGGTAACCTCTGGCAGGCGATGGGTTTGATAAGCAGTAGTGGGCAGTAGCTTAAATCACCACAAAAGAAAGCCAAACATCTGGAAGAAAGCCTAGAATGGGGAACCCCTCTGACCTTTTCTGCAGCATCTTACATTATGTAGCCAGCGTCTGTGGGCTGGCTCTTTTACGTGCCTCATTTACACCACGATCATATGTTGTCCCCCTTTCTACGGGCTCCAGCTTCTAACAGTCTTCCTGAAGCCATTATTAGTGTTTCTTCACTTAGTGAGTAGCCCATCTGATTTTCCTTGATATGACTTTAAATTTAATATGTTGGACTTGCTTTCCCAGGTTGAGACTCCCTATTTTTATAAAACTCATTTTAAGAAGAATGTCTTTGATACCTCCTTCCACTGTGTTATCTACAGTATAAGTGCTTAGAAATACATCATCATCTTCCAGGAAGAGAATAATTCCCTTAGTTTCACACCATGTGCAAGGTCTCCCAGATCAATGGTGCCGTATTCTCCTGAATCATAGAATCGTTAGGGTTGGAAAGGACCTTAAGATCATCCAGTTCCAACCCCCCTGCTGTGGGCAGGGACACCTTACGCTAAATTGTAATCACCCAAGGCCTCGTCCAACCTGGTCTTGAACACTGCCAAGGATGGAGCATTCACAACCTGCCTGGGCAACCCATTCCAGTGCCTCACCACCCTAACAGGAAAGAATTTCCTTCTTAGATCCAACTTAAACTTCCCCCGTTTAAGTTTTAACCCGTTACCCCTTGTCCTATCACTACAGTCTCTAATGAACAGTCCCTCTCCAGCATCCCTATAGGCCCCCTTCAGATACTGGAAGGCTGCCATGAGGTCTCCACACAGCCTTCTCTTCTCCAGGCTGAACAGCCCCAACTTTCTCAGCCTGTCTCCATACAGGAGGTGCTCCAGTCCCCTGATCATCCTCGTGGCCTCCTCTGGACTTGTTCCAACAGTTCCATGTCCTTTTTACGTAGAGGACACCAGAACTGCACACAATGCTCCAGGTGAGGTCTCACGAGAGCAGAGTAGAGGGGCAGGATCACCTCCATGACCTGCTGGTCACACTCCTTTTGATGCAGCCCAGGATACGGTTGCTTTCTGGGCTGCAAGCACACACTGAAGCTGGCTCATGTTCATTTTCTCATCAACCAACACCCCCAAGTCCTTCTCTCCAGGGCTGCTCTGAATCTCTTCTCTGCCCAACCTGTAGCTGTGCCTGGGATTGCTCCTTGTGGCTGCAAACATCTGTCCACAAAAAGAGAACAGCAGCTGGATGTTGTAATCAGGTCACTAAGGCAGAGCAGTACTGGTAAGGCTGATGTCACCTGCAGTTACAGCACATCCCTCCCTGCCTTCAGGAGACATTTTTCCTCCTGTCTCTGGACTCCTGATTCATGTCTCTGAAGTTTTGTCTTTCCATTCTCACCTATGTCCTCAAGGGTCAATAAATGGCTCTACACTTTTTGGCTCCTAGCTCTGCCTTGGGAAATCTCAAAACTCAGAAGTCCTTTCCCCACAAGTATCCTGCCCTGCAGCACATTGCACATACCTACTTCAGCCCAGGGCTGGCTCTCTCCTTGCTCTGAGGGGATGCCTGAGGACTCATTTTCTGGTATAACCTCTGGACTTGGTTTCTGCAGGAAGCAGGACCCCAGATGCTCAGTGGAACAGCTGGTTGAGACTTCAGTCACCACTGTAAGACAGAACACAAAAGCAATGTCTGTGAGCAGACAACTGCACTATGAATCATCTACCTAGCATCCTTCTCTGCTCTGACCACAAAGCCAAGCAGGAGGGAACTTCACGAAGCAGACTCAGAAAAGAAAATAAAGGTAACGGATGCAAAGTGGGACTGAATCAAATTGTTAAGAAACAGCGAGATTCCCCTGACAGACACCAGCCCTCATTCCTTCCCCCGAGGGCTTGAAAGCTGGTTCTCAGCTTCTCACCGCAGCTCTCTTCCAGCCTGTTAATGCATCACCAGGCAGGAACCCTGACCGGCAGCAGGGCCCTCCCACAGCCCCCTCTCCCGCCAGCGCTGCGAACCTGTCTGTTGCGAGGGCAGGGAGGAGAGCCGCAGAGCCCTGCGCTCTCTCCTGGCGTCCGGCAGGGACCTCAGCCAGGCGATCTGCCTGAGCAGCTGCAGGAGCAGCGCACCGAGTGCCCCCTGAGGAAAAGCAGACACAAGTCAAGGACAACATCCCCGCTCCCTCCCTCTGTCCCGCTTCCACGGGCAGCTTGTCCACAGCTCTGTGTCGGCGTGCCCGCTGCTCCCACCCCTCTCACAGCACAAGCTCCTGTGCTGCCAGCACTCCCAACACAGCCCGGGCCCGCCGCTCCTCACCCAGGTGACTGCCTCCAGCACGGAGTAGCGGGGCACCAGGCCGGGCAGGGTCTGCCGCCTTCCTCCTCGCTCCCGGCCATCCCGGGGCCGTCCATCCTCGCAGCCGGGCGCCCTACAACAACCGGGGGACACAACACGGTGAAGGCCGCGGGCAGCCCTCGGCACCCCCCCAGCGGCGCGCTGGGGTCACCCCGCTCTCCCTGCAGGCCCGCACCGCGGGCAGTGCGCAGCCCGGCCCGGCCGCACTCACCGCTCGATGCCCGGGCCGGGGCCGTCGGGCGGGGGCGCGGCGCAGGCAGGGCGGGCGTGCGGCGGCCAGCAGCGGCTCAGGCCGCGGCCCAACAGCAGCCGCCACATCCCGCCCGCCGGACCATAGAGAGGGGGCGTTGCGGAGCGACAGCAGCTTGGGCCATAGAGAGGACGGAGCTACTGAGGGTATCGGCCGGTCCCGGCGGGGCAGCGGCGGGCCAGCACCGGGCGGCGCAACACCGGGCAGCGGGGCCGAGTGGGGCCCACCCGGGCAAAGAGCAGAGAAGCGGCTCCGGCCGGCCCGAGCCCGGCGGGCGGGTGGGGATAGAGCGGCGCCGCATCATGGAGACGAGCTAGAGCGGCGCCCGGCGGAGCGCGGGAACGGTGCGGCGGCCCCTGCCCTCCGGGCGGGCCGGGGACAGCCGCGTGTGACGGGGTTACCGGTTGTGCTGAGCCCCGAGGGGAGCCCTGGGATGGGGGCTGACGGCGCCGGGGCAGGTCGGTGCTGTGTGCCTGAGCCGGGGAATACCGGATAAACGGTGCATTTTCCTGACCGAGAGCAGCTTCCAGCAGCGGGGTGGGGGGACACTGGGGTGATGGGTTGAGGAGAAGCTCCCCATGAGCCGGCATCAGTGAGCGCTTGAGCCCAGATCCCCCCTGTGCTGGGCTGCACCCCCAGAGCGTGAGCAGCAGTCAAGGGAGGGGATCCTGCCCCTCTGCTGCACTGGGGAGACCCCTCCCTGCAGTCCTGATCCAGCTCTGGGGCAACAGCACGAGAGGGACCTAAAGGGGCTACGGGAAAGCTGGAGAGGGGCTTTGGACAAGGGCCTGTAGGGACAGGCCAAGGGGAATGGCTTTAACCTGCCAGAGGGGAGACTGAGATGAGCTCTTGGGCAGAAGCTCTTCCCTGTGAGGGTGCTGAGGCGCTGGCACAGGGTGCCCAGAGAAGCTGTGGCTGCCCCATCCCTGGCAGTGTTCAAGGCCAGGTTGGACACAGGGGCTTGGAGCAAGCTGCTCCAGTGGAAGGTGTCCCTGCCTGTGGCAGTGGTTGGAGCTGGGTGAGCTTTAAGGTCCCTTCAAGCCAAACCAGGCTGGGATTCTGTGATTCTATGAATTAGACAAGAAGAAATTGTGTACTGCAAAAAAGTAATTTTAGGTTTTATCAGAAATTCACTCAGTTAATCTTCCTGTAATCACGGATGTGGTTAATTATATATGGGAAATGGTATAAGTGGGAAACATTTGTGAACGGGAATGTGTAAAATATGCATTAAGATGCAGTTGCAGTTTGAGCTATGCATGAACTTGCCCTCACCCCTTGGTGGTGGTCGATCTTACTCTGTGACTGCCCATGCTCCCAGAGGCCTCCCTGGGCTTATATGTGCTGTATGTCTGTGTGTTTCAGTGGCGTTGCAATAGGAGATGGCAGAGTTCCCAACCAAGAGCATGCCATGCCAGCATGAGAAAAGGATAGACTTCATATTCTCCTTTCCCTGGTGGTTTCCTTCAGAAGTATGGCTATTGCTGGTCCTGTGCTCATTCCAGCTGAACAATGTGAATTTCTTCTTCATTTCTTCGTTCCACCAGCAGGAATTCTTGGTCATTCCGGCAGTTCGTTTCTCTTTGCAGAATATGGTGTTCTCTTTGCTGGTAATTCCTGTTAGGAACTCGTAGTTCTAGTTCAGTTTTATCCATGTTTTATGCTAGAATGGCTGCAAGTTTGGCTCCAAGTGTGGCTTTTCAGGAGATCTGTAATCATTCTCTTTCATCAGGCTGAGTGCTTGCTTCAAACTGCCAGATTTCTTTTGGTTTTCCATAGCTTTTATTTTGTTGTAGTGTCATATGGGACACAAATCCTTTATCCTTTTCACCCCAGATTTGGCTTAATACCTTAATTACAAAGTCATTGAGTTGTCTCTTTTAGTAAATGTGTCTCTAATTGTCTCGTGCTAGTAGGCTGGTATTTGCTAAGCTACTACAGTTTGTTTGGGGATGAAAATGACATGCAAAATAGAAATATCAGCATCTCCACTCTATAATCTTGCCTTAATTTTCTTGCTCATCAAGTTGATATCAGTAATTAATGCTCCAAAAACTAACACTGCATTTGTTGGTATTGGTTCATCCAGGATCTTCTCAGCTAATCACTGTATTTTTAGTGCTGTTTAGTCCTAATTTCCTTCCAGGTCCCTAGCCGTTTGGTGTGTGAAACTCTGTCTTTTCTGCAACTGGCAATTCAATAGCAGAGCTAATCCGGTTTGATTCATATCATGAGGGTGCCACAGGAGCTGAGCAACATCTGTTGAACCATTGCTGCACATTTGTGTCTTTTACTTTGGAGAAGAACCAAACACAGATGAGATGGGAGGGGAGTTTTGAGACATGAGGAAGATGACTGTCCAGAGCAAGACAAGTTGAGAGATCTTTGTTGTGGATCTGAGCTGTTGTGGAGTAATGTGACTGAGGGATTAAATGTCACAGAGAGAAATGACGTGAACTATGCAGGCAGGAGGACAGTAAGTTCTGCACAAGGTCTGCTTCTTGTGGCTTTCCAGCTTGGCTAGTTTGTGTCCTAGCAGCTTGCAGTCAGAGGGTGGAAAGGACGTTGAGAAGGAAGAGGTGATAAGCCATGAGGGAGTTACTGCAGGTGCAGAGGGCCTTGCTACAGCTTTTCTGACCAGGCAGAGACTGGATTGGGAGCAGCCCTAAGGAGAAAGATTCTTCCTTGTGAGAGTGCTGAGGCGCTGGCACAGGGTGCCCAGAGAAGCTGTGGCTGCCCCATCCCTGGCAGTGTTCAAGGCCTTTGGATGGGGCTTGGAGCAAGCTGCTCTAGTGGAAGGTGTCCCTGCCCATAGCAAGGGTTGGAACTGGGTGAGCTTTAAGGTTCCTTCCAGCACAAACCTTTCTATGGTTCTATAAATCCATGACTATTGGTGGTGGGATTTTGCTCTGTAAGCCAAGGGTGCTGGGGAAGTGGCTGATGTCATTGCAGGGCCACTTTGGAAGGCTGCAGTAATCAGGAGAGGATGGTGATGACAAAAAATGTCAAACCTCACACACTCATTCATTATTCAAGGGCAAGAAGAAGGATTGGAGAACTCTGAAACCCTCTTATTTAGCTTGTGCCTCTGGGAGGTGGTGGCACACCTTCTCCTGGAAACTTTTAAGTGTGTGAAGGACAAGAAGGCTATTGGGAAGAGCCAGAGTGGATTTGACAAGGGCAATCATTCCTAACCAGCCTGATTGCCTTCTGTGATGAAACTGGCTCGGACAACAAGGGGAGAGCAGTGGGTGGTGGTTACCTTGTTGTTAGCAAGGCCTTTGACATGGTCTCCTATAGTATCACCTCACTAAACTGGTGAGGTATGGATTGGGTAAATGGACTATAAATTGGATGGAAAATTGCCTGGATTGTTGGGCTCAGATGATGGTGGTCAGTGGGCTGGCACACAGAATGTACGAGAAGAGGCTGAGAAAACTGTTATCACACAATAATTTTAGGAAGATAAATACTTTGTGCCTTAGGGGAATAAATACTGTGTTCCTTAAGAAATACATTTATTTTGGTGGAAAGAGAAAATCAGACTGGTTATAGAAAGCAGGTTATAAGAAACATAAATGACTTCAGAATGTATATAACCTTCTAGAGCTTTGAAAAACCTTGCAGGAGAAGGCACTCATTTATTCACTGGTTTAAACACCCATTAATGCCAGTACCCTTGAAAATCCAGACAAAATCAACATATCTCCAAGCTCTTGATTATTGCTTTGAGGCACATAGGCCCCTGGAACTTTGTTCCCTGGGTGCTGGAGCTGTTGCCTCTTGTCTCATAGCAGTCTTTTGGTAACTTCGGTTTTCATCTGTGTGTTGTGGTTTAAACCCAGTCAGGCAGCTTGTTCACTCACTTCCCCCCTTCTTTCCCTCCCCCTACTCCCGAAGGTATGGAGAGGAGAATCGAAAAGAATGCAACTCCCATGGGTTGAGATAAGAACAGTTTAGTAACTAAGGTATAACACAAATCACTACTGCTACCATCAATAATAATAATGATAAAGGAAATAACAAGGGAAGAGAATACAACACCTCACCACCAGCTGACTGATAACTCGCCCCCCCAGCCCAACCCAGCACTGACTGATACCTCCTCCAACCCCACAGTCCCCAGCCCTTCTGGGTAACTCCCAGTTACATCCTGGGTATGACATGCTGTGGTATGGAATACCTCTTTGGTCAGTTTGGGTCAGGTGTCCTGTCTCTCCTTCCTCTCTTCTTCCCCTCCTCCCTGGCAGAGCATGAGGCTCACAAAGTCCTTGGCCAGACTAAAACATTTGAGTAGTAACTAAAAACATCGGTGCTATCAGCACCATTCCGAGGCCGAAAGTCAAAAACACAGCACTGCACCAGCTACGAAGGAGGAGAAAAAATGACTGCTACTGCTGAACCCAGGACACTATGATTTTCTGTGTCTTGAACAAAGCCACTTGGTGGAACCTGAAAGCTTTGACACACACCAGGTTTTTTTCTAAAGCCAGAAATTTATGGCTACAAAACTCAGTGTACAACTCTGATGAAGTAGACTTGAAACACTTGTAATTACAGATGATCCAGTTTCACAGCTCGCAGACAAAAGAAAATGTGTTTGTTTTACTTTATTAGATTGCTTCTAATATGTTCATACAAACCCGAATGTGCATATACACACTTTGTCAATACTGCCAACTGCAATTTATTAAGTTTTATAAATTTTTTCCACTAGGTCACTGTATTGGGAAACAGACAACAAATGCAGGATCAATGCTAAAGACGGGAAAGCTAAATTTCCAAGTAAGCAATCTTGTAATTTCTCTTAATAAGTTCATAAGGGGCATTTTTGAGGAAGTCTTAATTAATCATAGGCCTAAACCCTCTCTTAATGGGGTTGTATTTTTCTAACAGGGAAGTAAGAAAAAAGAGGTATTTGGGCATAAGCTGTAGCTTGAGCTGCCCTTTCACTCTCCTCTGGCTGCTGCAAAGCCCCTCAGTCAGTCATTGTAATCCAGATCTGGAACTGGAAGTGTGTTTTGGGGATGTATCTTGTTGCTTTGTGATGAAGGCCCTGGGAGAATCTGTTGGTGTTGACAGCCCATGACAGTAAATGTCACATGAATTTGGAGGAAGCTCAGGGCCTTCTGGTGACTGCTATGAGAAGAGACATGGTGACAGAAAACCTGATTGATGAGCCATGCCACAAGTAGAGGGAGCACTGAGTGGTGATTGCCTATAATTGAATGGTCCAAGGAAGTTATTTCTGGGGTTCCTATGAGTGGTGACATGCACTCCAGAAGTGTTTGCACAGGGGAGGACTGCAGATTTTAACCCTGGTACTCAGCAACTCCTTGTTAATGCAGCATTAACAGACTTCAAAACTTTAATGGGCTGCTTTAGCTTCATGCCCAGCATAGTAATGAGCCAGTTGACAATCGGAGATGGTCACTCAAGCAATTACCTTTAGAAATGTTCCTTTGCCTCCTCTTTTTAGTGCTTTCTCCTCATGGCTCAGCTCTGTGATCTGACAACATGGAGACGTTGATTATCAAGGTTCTTCCTGACTCTGACAGTGCACTCCTCTGACATGGGCTTGTTGCAGCCATGTTAAACTGATGCTCCTGGCATTAAATGGGAAGGGGAGATGTAGTAGCCCACTTACCCAGCAAAACATCTGCTCACACTGACCAATTAAATTGGCTTCTCTCTCATTAAAACCCTTGTGCAGACTCTGGTATGTCACAGATCTTTAAAATCTCCATTATGAATTCCACTTTCTTCTGGGTATTTTTAGCTTATACTTGAAGAAATGATTATTGTCTCTTGCACTTAAACATATCAATTTTGGCTCCACAGACATCTCCTCTGGGCCACATTCAAAGACCTGAGCTGACTCCAACTGCTGAATCCGTAGGGAGGTTTTCAACACAGCCTGAAGCACTTGGACATTGGAGCTGGGCAAGAAGGGCGAGGGAGAGAAATTCAAGCCCTCCCCGCTTCCCTTTGGTAAATCAGGAGCACATCCCTTACAGATTTACTTGGTTGTGCCAATTTAATGTGATTTCTTCTGAGGGCCAGGAACTACTCAAGGAAGGCTGACAGGTTTTATCAACAGAATGGAAACTGAAGTGATAAGGTGAGAGTTACTGACCTGATAACTAACAAACAGAAAACTTCAGTGTCCCTCAAGCTAAATATTGCACTCAGCAGGTAAGTAAAAGATGGCAACAGCTGTGGTCTTGTCACTGAGAGAGAGTGTGGTTTAGTGTAGAGGAGCAGGAGGTGAACTGTGACAACAAACACATTCAGTTTGCTACAGACTATTTCCCTCTATTACTTTTAATGAGAGCTAAACTCCAAAATGCACAATGGGACAATAATATTTTAGATAGAAGGAACTCTTCGTACAGCTCCTAAATTCTAGACACCCGGTTGCAATTAAAATCATTGCTTGTGTATTATTAATAGCTCACCAGTAGTTTAAGGCTGTTATCAGGTATGGGACCAATTGGTGCTGGCCAGCACACAGCTGAATGAAGAGTAGTGCTGTCCTTGAAGGAGCTGAGTTAACAACCTGAACCCACAGTGCCCAGAGGAGTTTGAAAAATGAGGGAAACGTGGACAGGAGCTGTGTTGAATGCAGCACTGTGGAAGCTGGCAAAGCAACATGGCTGGGTTGCTGTAGTCAGATGTTAGTGAATGCTGCCTAAGTGGGGTTTCATTTAGTTAAATTCTGAAATTGCAGTGTGGGAAGGGCAGATTGGAAAGGAAGCAGAGACCTCTAATAAACGCTGATTTACAAGTAATGGGCACAAAAAGTGCTGCAAGTACGGCAGTTTGTTGTTCTTGCTTTTTTCCCTTATATTTTTTCTTTTCCTGAGAACATGCCGGGGTTGTGTATGAAACCTGGTTGTCACAAGTCTCACACATCCCTTGAAATTCCTGTCTGACAGAATATGAAGGCTGCAGCAGCTGAACAAAAAGGCGCGCGACAGAGCTCTTGTATGATGTCCGTCTCCCCTTTCTGGCACCTGGCCTGTTCAGTACAATTGGGAAAGACAAATGGCAAGTGATTGCTTCCTATTCAACTTCTGCAAGCTAATTTTGTTTTTCACATGGCAGCAGTTTTGTACTCACCACGTTTGTCATTCTGCCATGTATTTTTTCTTCTCCCTGTTGCAGTTCCTTTCCTGTTACAGTTCCTTTCCTTTATAAGGTAAGGGCACCAGAACTACATTTGGTATTTGAGAAGCAGACGCACCATGAATTCATAGAGTGGCAAAGTCATACTTTTCTCTCCTAAGAATTCTGAGCTTTTGCTTTTCTTTTTCTGCCTGCTGTTGAGCACCAAGGTGATATATTCATAGAACTAGCCATTAGAATGTCAGGATGCATTTGCTAAATTGTGCAAACCAGTTCAGAGCCCATCATTCTGTGTGAAGTGAGTGTTGTTTTTTGTGTATAGGTAGATTATAGCTGTCAGGGCTGAAATTTATCTCCTGCTTTATCATGAGGCTTACTCAATGTCATGAGATCTTTAAGGTTTGGTAGTAAATATTATCCTAATTAATTGATGTTTTCTCAGAAATCTTCACTGTTCCACCTACTTTCCAGGTCATTTCTGAACACAGTGAACACCATAGACCTTAATCCCCATGGGAGTCCACTGATGATCATCCTCTACTGTGAAAACTCATCCTACAGTCTAATCTTTTTTTCCCCCAGTATTATTTAACTCTGTGAGGGCCTTACCTGTAGTCCCTGGCTTTTTAGTTTATTAAAAAGCCTTTGATGAGACCTTCAGTGCCTGAAGTTTCTGGAAGCTTGGTGTGAGCTGGAAATGCAAGGGAAATTTCTCAGCTGGATCTCTGTTATTTACATGCTTTTGACTCCTTCAGAGAATTCCAGCAGATTTAGGAGGCTCAGATTCCTTTCACAAAAGTCATGTTTACTTATCCTTAATGTGTTACTTTTATTCATGTATTCAGTCATTCTGTTCTTTACTAGAGCTTCAGCCAATACGACCGATATGGACATTAGACTTAGTGGTCTGTGGGTTCTTGAATCACCACTGGATTTCTTTTTAAAAACTGATTTGTTATTAGTTACCTTCCATCCCTTTGGTAATCACAGCAATTTTCAGCAAAAGGTTACATACTAAGGGGATTAGCTCAGATGATTCATATTTAACATTCTGTAAAGATCTTGCATGAATCTCAGCCACTGATATGTTGTTATTCAGTTTGTCTGGTTGTAATCTACACTTAACAACCTTAAATTAAGACAAGCCTGTTGTGAATGTCTTATAAACAGGGTCCTGGCCTCAGAGTTTCTCTGAGGTTCTCCAGGTGAAGAGAGATGTAAAAAGAAGAGTTTGTAATCTTTTGCGGTGGCATTATCTTTTCTGAGTGCTTCTCTCATACCTGGCTCTTGCAAGCTTCATGCTCTTGATGTGTTCCAAGAAGGATTTCTTGGACTTTTTTATTTCTTTAGCAAATAGCTTCTAAATTCTTTCTTCAGTCTATGTTATTGTGCTTTTACATTTAGTCTGCCAGGATTTATGTTCTTTTTAGTTTTCCTTTTTCAGACACCACTTCAGCTTTTTGCAGAGTACGTTTTAACTTCCAACAGCCTCCCTGATCCCGCTGTTTTGTGCTTTTTGTTTTTCTCTCAAGTCTTTTTTGACAGGTCATATGCATTTGCTTTGAGCCTCCAATATAGGATCCTAAAATAGTCTACCTGCCATCTGAAAATGTTTTACCTTTCTGGCTGCCACTCTGAGTGTTGTTTTTGTTTTTTTTAAGAAATTTCCCCATTTTTGAATTCCCATTCTCTGGAATCAAGCGCAGCTGCTGCATTTGCCAACATTTCTTCATTTCAGAATATGTAGTCATGAATCAGATAAAAGGATTAAGGGTTTGGGCCTAGCCCAGTCTCTAGGAAGCCTGGAGATATTTGTCATTAACTTTTCACTTATGTTAATGTCACTAATTTCATTAACTGAGAAACAGGGAAGGAAATGGCTTTGCCAGGGCTGGAGATGATGGGACTTCCTGCCCTGGAACTTCAGCTGCTTTCTCCAACCTACAACAGAGAAAATGATGGGTCATTGGAAAATAAAGCTGTCTGGGCTGATTTGTGCCACTGCAGTTTGATGCTGACTAGGTGGGGTGGTTCTGGCAGAGCCCATCTACACTGTGCTGGTTGGAACCAGAGTGTGAAAGTAGAGTCACAGTGACAGTGTCCAGTTCCCACATTAACACATGCAGGATTGATCCAGTGTACCAAGAAATCCAGCAGGACAGTGTGTGAATGCAAGTAGCTCTTCCTGTGATAATGCCAGAGAATCAAGAGCTTAGACTACTTCATTATTTCAGTCTGCATATAACAAAATCTTGGATAAGGTCTGACCAAAAAAGGACTAAGACCACAGTTAGTAGAGCCTGCTTTCGTAGCTGAAAGTACCTGTAAAGCCAGAATGAACCAAATGATGCTGGCTACAGTGCAACTGCTGCCTAGCATTGACTGCTTAGCAACAGGGAGAGTGATATGGATGCAGATGAATTGAGTGTTTTCTGAGCAAGCTGGGTAGGAACAGAAGTAATTAGCTGCTAGCTGATGAAAAGGCATGCTTAATTATTAGTATAATTATAGATATAATAGACCAGGAATTATTCAGTAAAAGTAAGAAAGCCAATATGTTACAAAGAAGGTAATCAGAATGGGAGAGAAAATGACAGTGGTGTGAATTCTGGAGAAGAAATGTAATGGATTAAGGTGATAAATCTGGAATCTTTTGGGTTTCCACTCTGACAGAACCGAGTTTAACAATGGTGTAGGGGTCTACAGAGCTAACAAGGTGTGTGGCTTGTATTATTTCTGGTTTTATATAATGTTGATTTATCTGATTGTATGCGAGTGAAATTGAGCTGTATGTTCATAAATCTCCAAACCTGCACAGCTTCACAAAGATCTTTGTTCTCCTTCTAGCAATGCTGGAAGCACAACCATTTAATTTGATGGATTCTGTCAGAAGCTCAGCTTTAGCTGGTTCTGCTCAATATTGGTAATTGATTATAATTATTTGAAAAGGCAGCATTGCTTTCCCTTGGCACCGTGAGAAGTAGTTGTGACTAAGAAGCAGACATGCTAGCCAGCTGCCCTGCCTGGCCAATGCATCTTAAACTGTTTTCAGTGCTGCTGGGGAGATGGCTGGAGATAACAGGCTGAACTGTTCTAACAGAGATGTTAGCAAGATGATGGATAATCACTGAAATGAATAATCTGGGGAAGGTTTTAAGTACATCTCTTCCAATGTCAGAATGGATGTAGATAGTTCTGGTCCTGCTTTTGTGCCAGGGCTTGGACGGGGTGCTAACAGCAGCAGCAGTGATCTGACATCTTCTATATGGATCTGGAATGGAGAGGTCCAAGATACATACAATTTTGTCTAAAATTGTAGGGGTTTCTATGGCAGTGGAATGGGTGACTCTGGCACCAACAGCTCTAATCTAGACTCTTGAGTCTGAGAGTGGTGGTGCCAAATGATTACAAACCCTTTTGCCCACTGCGCTGGTTGGAAAAGAAAATCAAGATACAAAGATTTTACTGAATTACTGTTTGAGGACTAATTATTAAAATGGTTTTTGATTAATGAGTTGTGAGTGAAGCTAGTTTGGCAAATAGCATTTTGATAAGGTATTTGCAAGACAGATAGTCTTAAGATGGTGTGATGAACGTAAAACACTCTAACCTTAATGATGAAGTTAATGCAGAAATGATGTAAATGTGCATGAGTAATTACTGTATGAAGTCACTGGGGTACATCAGGACAAATTGAGTACAGACAAACTCTAATCAGCACAGAATCATTGCAAAGTGAAGCTGGAAGCAATCTCAGGTAATCAGTTGTTCCATCTCCTTCTTCCATAACAGAATCAGATCTCTCATGACATTCTTGGCTTCTTTCTCTTCCATTTTTGTTGCAGACTTTTATCTGCTCCAAGACTGTTACTGCACCTGACTCTGTCAGGCCTGCTATTGCATCTCTCCGTGGTCTTCTCTTTTGAGCATCTCTTGTTCTAAGTCTCTTGATTCAGGACATGTTTTCCAGACCTCTAACTGTTACCAGTTTTCTTGCTGCTTAGTCTTTCAGCCTTTCTTGAGGAGTGGTACCAAAGACCGGATGTTCCTCTGCACTGAGGCGTTACAAATACTGAGTACAGCAAAAGGACAGGCAAGATGTCTTGCAGGTAATTCTTCTGTTAATATATCTGTGTAGTGTTTTCTCTTTGCTCAGGACAATAGCCCCTGTTCAGCTTGTGATCTATCAGAACCTTCAGATCTATTTTTTTCCCAGACTGCTTTCTGCTCTGCTTTCTGTCCTCTATTTGTGCGCTTTACTCCTGCCTAAGTTAAAACACTACGCTTTGTACAACTGAGATGATTCCTGTATTTATAGACAGCTTGTCCAAGTTGTCAAAAATTTGTAATACTGCTATCCCAAATGTATTTGTAACCACTTTTTGCAGATTTAAGCTTGGCAGATTTAATAAACACACAAACCATTGCCTCATCCAGGCTATCAATAAAATATTGAATGGAACTTACGAACAGCTGAGAAACCATTCAATTTGTCCTTTACATTTCACAGTAAACCAGTGGAAACTACTCTCAGAGTGTGGATTCCAGCCTGATTTGTGTCATGACTTCAGCCAGGGCATTCTTGCACTCATCAGTGTTGTGTGGGCCTCAGTGACATTGAGGTATGTGATATCTGCTGTTGCTTCTTTATCCACAAAGTGTCATCCATTGGAGAGTGAAATTAGACTGTCAGGTTGTTTTGTTCATGAGGGATTCATGTTGACAAGTACTCATTTCCTTAGTTTCTGTGTGCTTAGAAATCATTTGTGTTCTTCTGGTGTTTTTCTTTTCCTGGGTGTTAAATCTTTTGGTGTCTTCATTATTCCGTTGGCCTTGAAGATGACTGCTGGTGGTTCCAGCTGTTTGAAAGTGTAAGGACTTTGTGGACAGTTGTGAAGGCAACAGAAACAAACCTTTCAGTAGGAGAATCCCTGGATCAAATGTGACCTTCCTGCGATAAAGCACAGAGACACAAAAGGTTCTCAGCAGAGTGGTGGAAGGAATATTTTAACAAAAAGAAATGATTTTATTTCAATCTGAGAATTTAGGATGCAAATCAGATGAATTTAAAAAACAGATTTCAGGCCAGCTTGAGAGAATTCTGAACAGTTTGAACTACAAGTCTGAGCAGTCTTGTAGGAATGTGGCCAGGATTACGTGAAAGAAGTTGGGGAAACCTCAATTTTATGCTGCACTGACTTCATAATAGATTGGTAGTGAATGTTTAAGAAAGTAGGAACAGAGATTAGACTAAATTTCATAACCTTTTAACCCAGAATGCCTGGATCTCCTCAGCAAAGGGTTTTCTGAACTCTAATATATGCTCACTGTTGACACGGGCTTATCCACAGAACAGAATGACCTTTGCACAGCTCTATGAGAAGTGCGTGAATGCTAAGTTTTAGCATCTCCTATTCACTGTGCCCATGTGACTCTGAGGTTGATCTTGCCAAAACAAGATATTAGACTTTGTCTTGTAGCCTTTCTGCTGGAGTGTTTGATGCTGTGTGTATAGGAAGTGTATGTATATTTATATAAACACTCCAGTGTGTGAGTCAAGAAAAAAAGAGTATACATTGCATTAGTATGAACGATTTGCTGTTTTTCAGAAACCTTGATTTCATAGAATCCCAGACTGGCTTGTGTTGGAAGGGACCTTAAAGCTCATCCAGTTCCAACCCCCTGCCATGGGCAGGGACACCTTCCACTAGAGCAGGTTGCTCAAAGCCCTGTCCTAATTTTTCCCTCAATTCAGTATTCTAATGGGTGAAAATATGCCACTCTTACCTATGCTGTGTGTTAACAAGCCTTTGGGTCAGTACCACTTCCACTGTGCATTTTGTTATGTAGAATTATCACCATGGTTGTGCCTTGAACTGTTTGAAGATTGGACTGCTGGCAAATAAGGGAGCTCAAAAATGTCATCAAACTCCTAAACAGAGGCAGATGTATTATTCCATACTGGCTGCAGGAATTAGGTGTGAGCAAGGGCCCCTGGTATGACTCTTCCTTCTTTCATCCCTTTTTTTCACCATCTTCTGCCATATAAATTCCCTTCTACTTCCTGGTTCTTTACGCTTAAGGAGCTGTAGAACTACTCTAGGAGTCATTCGTGTGTGGATGCATTCTTGCTTTCTGTTATCCTTTGGTTTTGCGTGTACCCTTCACATGGCGGGAACAAAATGTTCTTGGTGGTGAAGCAGAGACACATGTGTGTGTACTGAAGACGGTGTGCCAGGCAACGCAGTACAGATTTTATAATACCCAGTGAGTCATTTCTTAATAGTGAGGAGTTCTGAGTACTAACTCTAGGTGACTTCCACCACAAGGCAGCTGTTAACACATTACTATGAATTTGTTGTGGGGGAAGAATAAAATTGCATAAGTAGCTACATTTTAAAGAGACAGAAATAATAATGACATTAAAATTGGCTGAAAAAGCCTGAGCTACAGTAACAATGGAACGTTTTAAAAATAAATGGGTAGCTAGGAAGGGGTGTAGGGAGACATGCTGTTTGGAGATCACAGAGGCACCTAAGCTTGACAGTTTCTATGACTGCATGAAACGGAGAAACACAGCCAAGCCTCCGCTCTCTCCCAGCATATTCTACTGCACAGCAATCAGGTTTAGTAACACATTGCTGAGAAAAAGACTCCCACTATTTAGTATTCATTATAGATGGCATTTTTCAGATTGCAGCTCAGCAGTGTAAACAAGGCACACTGGAGGAAGAGTGGAGAACAGCATTTCTCCAAGCTCTGATTTATTTCTTGTTGATATTCACTAACTACACAAACTTATGGGAGCACCAATTTTTCGGAAGGGAAAGTAACTCTCAAACCACCACCATTTTCCAGCTTTCTTACAGGAAGCCAACACAACAGGAGGCAAAACACAATTCCTTTCAGTAGGACAGGCGTGTGGCTCCCTTGTGAGGCTGAAACATCTGGTAGATTTGTTTCTGTGCATCGTGGATCTGCAGGCCTGCCTGGGTTCTGCCAGCTGCCCGCTTTAGATTCCATTTATATTGCATTTTGTAAACCTTGTCTGTGTGAGGAGGGAGCCTGCCCCATGTGTAGGGTGCTGCGCTGCTGGGACACCTTCTATTTGTCCGGGAAGCAAAAAGCTTCCCGGACAAACCAGTGTCCTAACACGGACCAGCATCCTAAATACCATGGGGTTGACCAACCTGTCTCACGTCCAACATCAGCCAGTGACATAGCACCCAGAGAGCTGTCCTGCCTGCATGCTTGCCCTGGCAGAGAGGTGCATGGCCCATGCTGCATCCCATGGGAACTGGCCCCTCTTTTTTGGGAGTGAGGTGCCTTTTTTCCAGGTGAGCTGAATGCCAGCCACCCAGAAAAGGAACACAGCTTTTCCATCATCCATGAGTCATTAATTCCTGTGAGCCACAAGGATACCAAGCACTGCAGGAGAGGTGGGAGCTGTGTGTAGGGAAATGCACATGGGCTTTCACCCCAAGCTCCCCATGGTCTCCCCAGAGCCTGCCTAGCAGCAGAAAGATCTGGCATGCTGAAGAAAGGCTGCGTATGACGGCTCTGCTCCATCTGTACTGCCTGTGTGAGCATAGAGAGCCTGTAATAATACAAGATCTTTCAGCTCCCATCCCTGAACAAGTGAGTTCACATCATTCTGCTGACACAGGTACAGTCTTGCTTTTGAATGTGAGTCCTCTTTTGGGAGTTGCTTCTCCACATTCCCTACCTGTCTTTTACCTGGTCCTGCTACAGCCTCCTCATAGACCCTTTTGAAAGCATGGTGCTAGAGGTTCCTCTGCCCACCTCACCCAGCATCCAGTGCCATGTCAGGGGCCTCCCCATCCTTCCCCTTCCAGCTGGAGGTGTTAGATGTACTCTTTCTTCCAAAGCCTCCCTTCTTTGAAAACACCTTGGTGAGTACCTGTATGTTTTCAGAAAGATTCATGGCAGAGTATCTTAGGAGTATTTTATTTTCCCCCACAACTATTCACAGTAATACCTACCTTAAAAATGGGACCTATTCAAAAGTACATGAGCTTCTTAAAAAGAAATTAAAAGCAGCCGCTATAAGGATGCAGAAGATGAGAAGCTGGATAAAAGCCCCCTATCTGAACCTCAGAGCAATATATCACTGAGTGAAATAATTCTACAAGGGACCAAAAGGCAATATTCTAGCAGCAGAATGGAAGAGAGTATTCGAAATCGGGATTTCTGAGCAAATAAAGAACCTATTTAAATAAAAAAAAAAAGGAAAGAAAAAAAAGCATTAACTGTGAAGCTGAAACTGTAGGGCAGACAAGGGAAGATTTTAAGGTGCAAACTCACTAACAGAGTAGTAAAAATACTAGTAAAAATGTTTTCAGAATTGCCAGGATAAGGTACTTTTTGCAGAGGTTTGATCAACAGATGACCAGTCTCTGCGAGGTTTATTGTAAGAGAGGAAAGTTGCTGTTGGAAAGTAAACTGAAGCTTTGTGTTGGTGCTCGCTGTGGTTGAGATAGGTTATTCTCCCATGAGAGTCAAACTTATGGGGACAAGTGTAGGGAACTGTCTCAAATTAAATGACAATAAAATGCATTTTAGGACTAATTGATAAGATGAAGAGTCAGAAATTGCCAAGACCATATGGTAATCACTCAAGAGCTCTGGAGGAAAACAAATATGCAGTTATGGAGCTACTATAGTATGTAACCTGTCACTTAAATCAGTCTCTCTGCAGGAGGGATGGAAGATGGTAAATGTGACAACAATCCCACAGAAGGTCCCCAGGAGCGAAGTGGAGAATTACAGACTGACACACTGCAGTCTGTACTCAGCAAGTGAGGAGAAATTATAAGAAAATAATGATGGAACGGATAAACCCCAACATTTTAGCCTGGATTCTAGCAAAATGTCTTCACCAAAAGGGTTGTCGAGCATTGGAACAGGCCGCCCAGGGCAGTGGTGGAGTTACCATCCCTGGAAGTATTTACAAGATATGTAGATGAGGCCCTTAGTGACATGGTTTAGTGGTGAGCTTGGCAGTGCTGGTTAATGGCTGGACTCGCTCTTAAAGGTCTTTTCCAGCCTAAATGATTCTGTGATTCTATATCAGGGAAAGTTTTTCTAGTGAGAAACCACATTTCACAAACTTGTTGGAGCTCTTGAAACAGTCTTGAAGATGCAACTAGGGTGGCCTAGTCATAACAACATAAGAAAGACTCTAGTGGGCCGGCCCAGTGGTCCATCTGCCTGCACTGTCCACCTATTGTTGCTGTGACCATGATTTTATGTCTCAGTCATATTCTTCTTGGTGCCTTCTCTCTAAATTGAGAAGCCCCTTTAAGTGTCTCTTCCAAAGCAACAACTAGAAATCAGTTTAATCTGGTTGATGGTTTTTTACAAAACTTGTAATTGAACTGTAAAATCCCGTGCCATAGGATGTTATGGATGCTCAAAGTTTACTTGTTCTCTAGGGGTAACAGGAAAAGTTAATGGAGAGAAGTTAAAGCATAACCTGTTAAATAGTAAAACCAATGATTGTGACTCAAAAAGTCCCAAGACACATATTGTTAGAAACCAGAATAATATTCCAGGAAAGCACCACTGCATACCTGACATGTTCTTAAACTCCTTCCCCAGGCATCTCTATTGAAAACCAGATGCTGCAGTAGAGGAACCTTTGATCTGACCCAGTGCAGTTCGTGTGCTTCGTTATGTGCTGTCAAAATCAAATGAAACATGGGTATGCATGTAAACACTTTTGATGGCACCGCTGAACGCTGAATAGTGAACGTTGAACTCATCTCCCCACTCTACAAGCAAACAATGAATTTTTATTTGAATGCTAATGAAGATCTCACCACGGTGCTGCTGGGTCTCATCTAGGAATATAAAAAGAAAAGCTGGATGGCGGAAATAAAGAAAGGATCTTTAGAAGGGGATGTAAATGTATTGGAAATATTGATGTCATTAACCAGTCACAGGTCAAAAATATACTTGAAGCTACTAATGTAATATGAAGTGGATAAACAAGTAGGAAGAAGAAAGTCTTCTTACAATTAGTGCATCTGTTCTGAACTGAAAAGGAGAAATGTGTATTTCCTGTATCACTTTAACTCCAAATAAGCCAGGGTTTGTAGTCAAAAAGCAGATCTTCCTACAGCCATCTAATCTATTCCTGATCTCTTTCAGTTTTTGAGTCAGAGCTGAGGCAAGCTTCTTTTACAAATTGGTGTTGCAGTCTTCTAAAAGAGCTGTTCCTTGCCAGGAGAATATTACATAGAGTTCTGAGAAAAATGCAGGGAGTCAGCTTGTTTGAGAGCTAACTGATGCTTACTCACAACACTGATAAGCCTGACATTTACGGAAGAGTGCCACAATTCTCAGTCCAATGAAAAATCCCAAGAGGATGTTTTTTTTTCCTCAGTGATGCTTCACATTCTATTGACTCAGGATAAACTGGAGTCTTCTCAAGTGTTTTACCCAACAAAAATAATAATGTGGAATCCAACTCCTCCGCTTGAATTACGTGCAGATGTACTGGCTTTCCTTGGCATATTTATTAATGGTTGTGGTATGTTTAATGATGCTCTACAGCATGTCAGTGCCTTACATGTCATATTTCATTCCGGTAGTGTACTAAAAGCAGTTATGCAAGAGTTCTTGGTGCCTTGATTGCAATTACAAAAATTATGCTTGGAATAATGCCACTTTGCACTTCCATAGGAAAGCCAAAGCTTGCAGTAAATACCTGTTTATGATATTAGGCAGTTTTGTGGCTGTTAGTGGTGTTGCCTGTTGGTCTGTGCTTCGCCTTCCTGTAGCAACCATAATACCTGTCCGTGCTGGATTCTTCAGGAACAGGCCCTGCCTGAAGAAGCCTGTCAGAAGGCTTTTGAATGTTCAAGTAGATTATGTCAAGCAGTTCCCTTTTGATCATTATTATAAAGATATGTTCAAATGATTCTGAAACATTACCGATGCACAACTTTCACTGCAGACACTGTGATAATTAGCTCCCACCATATCATATTCCTTATCTAGGAGTTCCGTTATTCTTTTAATTATCTTTTTGACCAACTCTCAATGTACAAAGCTTATTTCTCTGTGGCTCATCTTTTAAAATAGACAAGAAATCCAAATAGTGGCTAAGAATTTTCTGACAAAATTGGTTTTTGGGGGGAGGGAAAATTCTTATCTATGAAAACTTGAACTTTTCACAGAAACATATGTTCCAGATGCCAGGAGTTGAAAAATCCATCACTTCAGGTGGTAGTTTGTTCCCAAATTTAATCATCACTGCTGTTAAAAAATGTGTGTTTCATTTCTGGTTTGAATCGCTTTCATTTTTCAGCCCTTAGTCTTTCTTCTCTCTCTGCTAGATTAAAAAGTGCTGGTTGATATTTTCCCCTTGTGAAAGCATTTATGGAATCGCCCCACAATTGAGCTGTTTAAGTTTTTCAGTTACGTGTTCTTCTCTCCTCATATACTTTTTTATGACTCTTTTCTGCCCCCAATCTGATCTTTCAACAACTTTAAATGTGAACATCAGAATCAGATATAGTAGTGGGTTTAGTGATCCTGTACCCAGAGGTTGAACGGACTCCTTATTTCTAATCCCTTCTCCTATTTTATCACACTTTTACCTTGAGCATTTGCGGTGAGTTCCTTGCCCATTAAGACCTCTGAAGTCATAACCGTTGCACTCCAAGATGGAGTTTTCTGTTCTGTAAGAGCAGCCCATATTCTCTTGTCGGTTCACTGACTGCCTCTTCTTGAGCTCACTCCTCTTGTACCTTGTATAATATTAAGTAGGGAACAGCTTCTCTCTTCTTTGATGTTCAGGATCTAATACTTCTAAAAGCAGTCACACTAGCTCCTATAAATTGGTTCTCTAACTCTTTTTTTTCCTTTGTGCCATTATATCGATTTATTTATGAATAATAGAGGTCCCCATGTTTAGTATTCCACCTCTCAACAGGAAGCACTCAGTCTTTCTCTGGTGAGTGATGGGATAACTTTACTCATATATTTACATTCTTACTGCCAGAGAGGTTCAGTGTGTTGTCTTTTCCAGTAAAATTTGAGTCTGACTAGATTCCTTAGAACATTTTCTTTGATATATATAAAAAAATTCATTCAGTTTTATAACTTAAACTATCTTTTCTGTAGTTTCTGGCCACATATTATGGTGTATTATCAGTTCTGTTTGGTTTGTTACTGGGATTTAATGTTTTCTGCTATGGCAAGATGTGATTTTATTACCTGTTTTTTTTTAATTGACAGCCCCCCCCCCCCCATTTTCTATACATGTATTTATAGCTCTTAATTTGAGGGACACCTTTGTTTAGCTTCTTAGTCCAATGTCATTTTGCTATAATAAGTCTTCACCTCTGAAATGTTGCTATCGCTGTTCTAAGCTTTTTCTCTGAACTCGCTGGATACACAGAGTGTTTTTGTTTTACCAACCCTTAGCAATCTGCTTGCCTTAGCTTATGACAGATTTCCCCCAGCTCCCACTTAATTAAACACATCAGATATGTTTTCCTTGTGAAAAGTCTGATTTCACTTTTGACTTGTGATGGAGACCATCACCTCCAGATAGCATCTTCTTCCCCTCTGCCTAATTAGAGTTGTGTGTGTAACTGGAAGGATTTCATAGAAACTGTCAACAGTACCCCGGGGCTAAATCTTCTAACCAGCAGTCTGACTTTGCCTTCCAGGATTCTTCAGTTGCATTTCCCTTTAAAATCTGTGACATGCAGTAAGACCTCATGCGCCTCTCCAGCACTTTCTAGCATCCACCTAGGTGTCTCTTGAAAGACCCCTTCATATTCTGCCTGTAAGTCAGCAAATCTGTCATCACATGTGTGGCTGCTGGTGTGCTCCTGGTATTTAAATTCCCATCAGCAGAGCAGACCAAAAGTTCTTGACTGAAAATGTATTTTCAGATATAGCCTTCCTAGAGTTGTCATCTTGCTTTCCCTCAGCTGGAAGGCAGCTTCCTGCCACGTTAATGGTATGCTGTGCTATGCTAAACTATCCACTGTGAGAGGAGGCTGAGCCTCCTCAGAGGTGAGAGGAGAGCAAGCAGTCTGAGCTTGGTCTGGTCCCTTGTGTCCTTTTACACTGGTTTTGTGCCTTATGTTTGTTCTCTATTTGTTTCTCCAGATTAGAAGCTCTGGCCTCAGCCTGCTCTGGGTGTGTGCTGTGAGCGCCATGTGGGCAATGAAGACAGTAGCTGAAGCAATTACTGAAGCATTAGTGACTACCCTGGAAGCTCTCAGAAGGCAGGTGAGATCACTGAGTATTACAGAAAGGCAAACACAATTTACTTTTTTGAAAAACAGAAGTTGGGGAATTAGAAGCCACTGTTCCAGCCATAAGTCTGAAAAAAACCCCCAATGATCAATTTAAAGCAAACAGAAGATAAAAAGGAAAAAAGAAGGAAAAAAAAGGCATAGATTTACCAAGAATTAATCGTGCAGTCTTACTCTAATTTCCTTCTTTGAGAAAATAATGTCTAGTAGATGAAGAGGAGGCAGCAGATGGGACATATTTTGCTTTAGGAAAGCTTTTGAAACTGTTCCACATGATTCTCTCAGAAGCAGACTAAAGAAATATGGTCTAGATCAGTGTGCCCAGTATTTCTGGCTGGGTGAGACACTTACCTTGTTTCTGTATAAGGGAGAGACCATCTGTTGCAGCCCTTCCTCTAATGCGTAAGTGTATTGTGCAAGCATAGAAAAGCCAGTGCTTCCTGGGGCAATGAGATTTATTGCATATGTGCAGACAGGATCATATACTGCCATGATCAGAGGCACTGAGTGTGCTCCCAGCAAAGGTGGCCCACAGTGTTCTCAAAATAGCCCATTCAGCAGGCAGCCCTCCTCCCTGTGGACTCTAGTCTGAATGCAGAAAGGAGCAAGGGAGACCTCAAGCAAATTTATTATGGTGCAGTTCATAGCTTGAGGTTCATCATTTAGAAGGTATATGATATTGCTGTAATGTGTGTGGTGATGGTGCACAGTCAGATTGGGAGGTTATTTCGACTGGAGTCCTGCTGGTATATGTCCTGGGCCCAGTTCTATTCAGTTTTTTAATTAATGACCTATATGGTTTAAAAAAGAACTCACACATAAAATATGTAGATAAAGCAAGATGCACTTGAAAGGTCAGGATCAGACTTGTGATGATCTTGAGAAACTGGAGAAAATGATCCATAAATCAACAGCATGAAACAGAAAGAGCCAAGTGCTGTGTGGCACATTTATGAAAGAGGGAGCAAATACCAAGATACAAAAATAGGTATAACTGACTGTCTGGAGTATGCCAGGAACAAGATATGGGAATTAGAGAAAATAAAAAATTAAACATGAATGAGCAATCAAAGACTCACACTGGGAGGTGTTAATGAAATGTATTATTAAACATGGGAGGAAATCTTATTTTCTGCACTGCTGTTGAGACCTTTGCTGGGCTTTTGTGTCCACCCCTGGTGCTAGAGGGAGCTGGTGGTGTGAATGATGTGGGTACTGACCACAGAGGAGTGAGTAGGAAAGACATTTTGAGAGTGGCATCACAGTGCTATAAATTGTCACAGTACCAGACTAGCAGATTTTTAGTGAGCTAGGTTTTGCAAGAAAGGTAAGCTTTATAAATCGATGTGAGACTAGATTGCAAACTAGGTTTTAACATTCAAAAACAATGAGGTATTTTTATAGTTCACTCTCCAAACTCACCAAATAAGCAACAGCACATGGTTCAAGAGAAATAAGAAAATTCTTGTAATTTAGAAAAATGGAAGGAACTGAAATCAATAACATTGAGGAAGGAAATAGCAAAGAATGGTCTCAGCAATGAAAGTCCCAGCTAAGCAGGCCTTATGAAAAATGGGCAACGAGATCAATAAAAAATGTAGAAATATACCTATACAAATGCTGCAACTCTGAAGCCTAAAAGAGGTGAACTAGACTGTCTGATTTTAAAGGAAGTTATTGATATAATAAATGCCTCAGAAACTTGGCAGAAGGGTAGGAAACGGTAATAATAGGGAACAAATTATTGAGGAAGGCTGGGAGGGGCTACATTAGTGGTGAAGCAGTGGAGAGTATGAGAAATTGTCCCTAAATGAAGTTTCAGCAGAGGACATTTTGGAACAAATCAATAAAATGAACAGTAAGAAAGCAGGAAGATAAGATGATACTCAATCTAGTTCTGAAAGACTTCAAACACTAGATTAAGAGAAAGCTAAATGTAGCATGAAAATTGTCATTTAAGTTAACCACACTGCAAAAGGGATAGAAGTGGCAAATGTGTCTTCAGCCTTGAGAAGAAGGCCTCCAGGACAAATGTGGAAACCCACAGGTCAGTAAATCTCACTCCCAAACTGAATAAGTGGGCAAAAACTACAATAATAATGAAGAGAATCAGTAGACAATTTCATAAATGTGATTTATTTGGTAAAAGTCATTACAGTTCTTGCAGAAGGAGACCATGTCTTATAAATCTGTTTGAACTCTGAAGATGTCAACAAGCTTGTAGGTAAGGCTGATGTAGTTGATAAAGTACGTACAGACTTCCAAACAAATGTGAATAAGTCTTTCTGCAAAGACTCTTAAAGTAGTTAAGCTGAGATAATAAGATGTCCTCTTGTAAGTAAATAAGATGGAGACAAAATGGGACAAGAAGTGGGAGAAAAAGGAAAAAGATCAGCTTTCCCAGTGAAAGGAGCTCTACAGTTTAGTCACGCAACTGTTTGATTTAGGACCTATTTGATATCCTTATAAATGATGTGGAAAAGGGGGTGAATATTGCAGTGGCAAGGTTTGTGGATGGCACCAAATTAACTGAGAGTATCAAATCTGACCCTGAGAAGAGAGGCAGATGGTTCTCATGGCAGTGAGGGACTATATCAGAAATGGCATGTGAAAGTCAATGCTAATAAATGCAAATTAGCTTGTCTGGGAATATACATATTCAATTATATGTTATACTTACTCAGTTACAGCTTGAATGTTATATTATTATCACTCAGAAATAGCATTGCGGTAGGATAACTCTGTGAAAACACTGATGCAGTGACCACAGCAATACAAAATTCAAACTGAACGAGAGAAATTTTTAGGAAAGGGAAAAAAGGAAAAACATGATTATGTGATTATGTCACTGTATAAATGTTTGGCAAACCCACGTACTGATTAATACATGCAGTTCTGTTCATCCAGTCTTCAGAAAGAATAAAATAGAACTAAAAAGGATGGGTAGGAGTTGTTTGGCTCAGACATCTAAATTTAGGTTTCTACCTGTAGATGTCAATCTGTGAGGTAGATATCTAAGCTCCAACACGGAATCAAAGCTTTTTAATGTGAATTCCACCCTGAGGAAGTGGATGAGGACAGAATGGTTTTCGTATCAGGACAGAGAAGATAGTCAGGCATGGGACAGAGAAGATAGTCAGGCATGGGACAGAGGTCTTGAGATCTCCTAGCTAGCTAGAAAACAATGAAGAGGGGGTGGCTATTATTTTTAAGCACAGGAGAGGTTAAGATACCCCATGAAATTATGAGGCATGAGGTCTAAACCAGAAAGTCATACATTCTCACGGAACTTCTTATTAAATTGTAGAACTTATTGCCAGAGGCTGTTGTGTAGGTCAAAAGCATAAAGGAATAAAGAATTTCTGGAAAGCTGATGGGGAGTCAGTGTCCTGCCAGACAATATTACAAAGGCTAGTTCAGCTGTTAAAAGCCAGGCAGAAGTACAGTGGAAGGACTCCAAGGCAGCTAAGTAGGACAGTACAGGCAATTTATAGGCCGGAATGGAGACCATGGGTGAGAAACTGGTGTGCACCCCACTAGTGGGGTGATCTTCTTGTGGTCGGTGGGCCACCATGAAGAGAGATCCACAGCTGGGATCTCGAGAGTGGAAAGTGTGGTATATTCCCATGTAAACTGGGGGAAGGAGGGAAAATGAGGGAGACTGGTGGTAGCCATAAAACAGTGGCTGTTGGCATAGGTAATGCCCAGAATGTGGAAGTAAGGAGGAGTGTTTGCAGCTCATGATCTTCGGCACCTCAGAGGTGACTGAATGTAGAAAACCCTAGAAGCCAGCAGCAGTACAGCTGTTCCCAGGCTGGTAACACTCCTGCCTGGGCTTGCAATGTACATCCTAGAATTCACTTGCTACCTCTAGGCTTTACTAGAGCAGTGCCTTAGTGGTGTTTGAAGACTTAATTTGCTAACAACCACATTCAGCCCAGTTCTGGCCAAGCTCCCTGGCTTTACTGAGTTGTTACCGAGGTTGCAGATGGGAACCTGAATGACCAATAATGACCCAAACGTGGACAGTTTTAATGGTTTGTCTCAGAGAAGTAGCACAGCTATGCAGGCTGTGGAGGGTAAGGCTGGAGAACACCTTGAGCTCTTCAGGATCGGGGAGAACTGAGTTATGAACATAGCTACCGCTGTAGATAAGTATAGTGTAGTATAAACTCTTTATAGAGGTCCCAAACTTTGCACTTTCAGTCCTGCTTTCATTTTCCATTTTGTTTGGATATATTTTCATCATTCATTCTGTGCTTTAGGAAAATACTTGTTTTTGTTGTGTGTTGCTCTCCTGGCTCTTCCCAGGGTGTTTCCACCTGGCTCTGAAATGGTTGCAGGTATTTTCTGTGTGCTTTGGCAGCCATGAATTTGGCTCCGCAGACCTCAGAAGGACTTGGAGTTCTCTGGAAAGCAGTGCAACTCATCTGCAGGGAGCAAACACAGAGAATGATGATTCAATGAGATTGGTAGCACTACTTCAAAGCAGAATTGGAATCTAATGCAGCTGGGTTTAAAATACACTTCAGGATTACATCAGAAATAATAATAGCATCAGAAGTGGAAACCTTTAAATGAGGGTAAATCTGATGGCAACTTTTGCATCCTTTATTGTAAAGCATGCTGAGCTGCGGTATAGTAGAATCCATTAGTACTTTGGGGATATATTTATTTATTTGTTTTTAAGTTGGGAACTATTCATTAGCTCCAAGTGAAACTTACTGTAAGAGTCGTCCGAGTCCTGGTGGGAGTTGCTCTTGCAGATGGAAGAAGTACCATCGTCTCCCAAAACACCAAAGGCCTGAGCCTCGTGTCCATGGTAGCAGCATCCCACTCCTGCAGGAAATTCCTGCTTTGTTAAGCACCAAAACCAAAGACCATGATCATGATGAGTCTGCCCAGGAACTGGGACAGAGAATAGGGCTGCCTAAAAAAAACCACATTCCCCAAACCTTGGGTTATGCTTACCTAGGATCCACCTTGAGCCACTTTTGTATGTAGCCCCAACACAGTTGTACTGTTGCAACTGCGGGGCTGTCACAGGAGCTTCTTATACTGCCACAGCCTCTGAAAGGAAAAGATTTGTAATTACAGGCAAAAAAGAGAGTGCTCTGAGTAATCTCAGGGCTTTGGTATGCATATGTATGTTCTTCAGTCTCTGGATAGGGATGATCTCCTTTACATGAGTGCTTGTCACCACAGCAGGACTTTGAGCTTACTGCCTGATGGGCGTTTGAATCCTGTGACCGTGGGACTGTTCCTAGCATTTCTTGCCTTTTCTGACCTAGAAAATATTTACTTAGTTTTTAATAAATCAAAACTGCTATCCCTGGAAACATTTAACGAGGTGTTTTGGTGCCTGTCAGGGAGTTGCCAATGAAAATCAGGGTCAAAACAGTAGCATGGTTCTGGACTTAATTAGATAGGCTGCTTTTGGGGGGAGAAGTTAAAGAGTTGGATGCTGGGGAATTGCCTGCATTGAGTTAAGAAGAAAACAGCTTTAAAATTTGTTTCTCCATTTCCTAGAAAATGAGTTTTCTACACAGCTTTGGATTGTTCTGGCAAATGTCTCTGTATTTTCATGATATGTTTCACAACATATTTGTTATGTCCAGACATAGAATGTTAGAATTAATCAAAACTGAAATATTTATGGAGAAAGCCATTTCACGTCCATCTCTGTCATGAGACTGGCTGCTCTGATAGGGATTAGAGGTTGTTACGCTAATGACTTAGACTTTTGTCTCATTGCCAGAGCAGTTTCCCAATTTAGAACCTTTTCTTCTGATTAATATTTGTATTCCTCCCACAATTCTTCTTCTTATAGGAACTCGTACTGGGAATTATTCCAGACCTACATAATGTCTCTGAAATCTTTTTATCCCTCTGTTTGCTGATCAGTGGAAAGGATTTTAATGCCAGGTTAGGTAATCGAGATAAATCCTAACTTCATCTAACTTTATCCCTCGACCATGTCTTGGATATGCTAGAAACATTTTTTGTGATCCATAAATAAATTCACATAGGATTTTGATTAATCTTTTTTTTTTCGTCTTCTGTTGTCAGTGAAGCCTCATTACATTAAATGGGAGATCAAACAGAGTGTATTACAACTTCCACTGTGTGCTGGTTTGTTTAGTGCATCACTTCTTTGCAGGTTGAAAACATCAGTAAGTTCCAAAGACATAGTTTTGTGCACAGCTGGGCATGTATAACATGTTTTGATAGTAGTCTGAAGCAATAATGGCTTCTAGTACCTGATAATGCTTTCTAGCCCCATTCAGTTGTTTGAATTAGCTTACATAGTGGTGGGAAGTATACACTGATTTAATTTGCTTCACTTCTAACTGCAACTTGTTACAAAGAAGAGGGAGTCAAGCATGTTTAAAGTAGATCTCTTGCTGGCAGCTGAAGCCAGCAAAGGTGTAATGCCTGTGTGGTTTGGGAGAGGTAGGGCTCCTGAGTGCTGCTCCCTGAGATTCTGTGTGCCCATCTGGGACGTTTCACGGCCATAAGCCAGCCATTTCTCAAGCACAGTCACTGGGGGAAGGACATACCTAAGGAAAAGCTTCACAAAAACTACATCCTGGTTTGAAAACTGCCTGACCTGGCATGTGGGCAGTAACAGAAAGCAGGGCTTGAGTCTATATCCTTTTTCATTTGACTTTGAATTCCAGCAAAAGGTTTCAAACTAAAACAGAAGTCAAAGTTTTCTTATCAAGAAGAAAGAGTGACAAGTCTGAACCTCAGAGCAATCAGGTTAAATGAGCCTGGGAAAGTTGGTGCCTCCAGTTTGTTAAGAGAAGCAAACTCCATGTTACCCTTGACTGTCCTAACGATAGATGAGATGGAAAAAAGCCCTCCCTTGCTTTGACCCAGAGTTGCTCTTTCCTCTGATGGTTCATTGATTCCCTTTGCTTCCCTTCTCATTTAATAGATTTCTATAAGTTGGGCATTTACAGACCTGCTGCTATTAACATTCAATGTTAGTGGACCTGAGAGCTTCTCTGTCAACTATGCTGGAGCTTCTGAGCCTGCCAATTTAAAAATGTTCATTGCTGATAGATTCTAACATCTCTCTCAGTTACTAATAGACTGGAAAGTATTTCATCATCTTCAAGCAATGAAAAGCAAATCATCCCTCTTTCCAAATACTAAAAGGCTGTTTGAACACTTCTGCATTTTCTGCATAATCCTTCACAATTCTCCTGTCTGCACTGAGCAGTGACCCCACACCGTGGCTGGGATTTCTTTTGCAAACACAACTTTCTTGTGCTAAGCTCTGTCAGTCAAGGATTTTATTCTGAGGCTGCTTTGTTTTGTGGCTCGTGGTTCTTGTAGGTCAGGAGTTTGCCTGGCTATTGATTTACAGCTAGTTATATGTAGTACTAGTGTTTGACATTTCTGTCTTTGTTGTTCTTTGCTGACATCACCCCCAAACTTCAACCACGCCAGTCATTGCTTTAAGATTTCATGGTGAGTGTCTGACTCAGTTTGACATTTTTCAGTTTTTAATGTCGGGTAAAATGGCAAAGGGATTAGGGAGAAGAGACCATTTCCCCAGTGTTTTAAATGCATATATATTTGTAGTGTATGTTTAATAATGAATATATATATATTTTTATATAAAACTCCCAATAGCAATGCCTTATAGCCCACTTTTGACAAGGTAGGGTCTTAATATTTGAATGAAGGGCTTGAAATTTAGGAAAGGACTAACCCTGGTGAAAGATGCGCATTTTTTCTTTTCCTTTGAAATCTGACATGTTTTGAGTCCCTCACCATGTCAGTCTGTGTATGTTCAGCTGTGACTTGCCTGTGTTCAGGTATGTATTCCCCAGAGACCTTGTCCAACAACAAACGCCACTCCTGGCTTCAGGAATGAGCAAGATTCTACCTGCCGTGCACAGCAGATGACAGGCAGACCTCAGAAGCAGGGCAGGTGGGAGGGCTTAAAAGGAAGGGAGGAAGAGAAGCAAAAATAACTGGCCAGGCACAGGTGGGTCCAGGGAAAGTCTAGATGATAGAGGTGGAAAGATCGGTGTTCCTTCAAGTGTGCTGTCTCTTAAGAACATGGAATGGAGCCCAGCACCACACTGTGCCTCCTGTGCAGGTCTGGCAGCCGCATGTATTACATGGAATTACCAGCGCAGCTTGTGTGTTCAGACTCAGTCACCTTAAGGTCTTTATAAAGGATGACAATATCTTATTGTTACCAGTAACCACATTATTTGTTGGTACCAGGTGCAGAAGGGGAGGAGGGTACCAGAATGCTGTCTTCTTCAGTAATGGTATCTGAGGAAAAGCTCTGTCCTGGCAGGGCTACCTATGCTTCCTTTATCTGGAGAGGCATCCTGACTCAGTATCAGCAAGGCTGGAGGTAAGGCAGTAAAAGAGGGCTTACAGATTATGGCCTGATCACTGAACTTCAGGTGGCAAATCTCTCTTTTTCAGAAGTCATTCATGCTCCCCAGACTCTCATATACCTTGTGCTTCACTGCCATATGTCAGAGATCCTCATTCCTATGTCAAAGCTCTTATCTCCTGTTCACACCAGCCTCCCCACACCACTGTGCTGTCCCTGGATGGAGTATATGGGCAGGGAAACATGCAAAATACGTGCATGTAGTGATACATGCATGCAGCTACTCCTACATGGACTAAGGAAGCCCTGCCATAGGGCTGTATCCTCTCCCTCTGCTCACTTGTGTTTGTTCTGGACTGTAAATCTCAGTGACCACAGGCTGTTAACTGACAATGCAGAAAATTATCCAGGAAAAGAATACGCATTTATCTTATGCTGTAAAGTTTTCTCATAGCACCCACTACAGGTCACAAGATGTGAGCAGAGAGAGTCCATGGCACTTTGATTTGTCCGAGTAGGATGGCTTTGGTGGTCTTTGTACCTTAAAGCCCAGTGGCTTTCTTTTCTTAAAACTGTAGTTACAGTACTTTAATCTGAAGGGCTTTTCCTTAGTGAACCTTTCTCTTGTACTCGCACCACTGTATCTCTTCGTTTTCATTGTTAGCAGATGGAGCATGAGTCCCAGTTCTTTCCTTCCATCCTTCCTGCTAAGAGATCCCTGGTGCCTCGGCAGATTTTTGTGGATACTTAATCTTTTGCTGCTTTTCTTCCAATGATTTTGATTAATTTTATCCATGTACATAAAATTATTTTGTGAGCGACACTTTCCATTAAAGAATGACATTGGAATTAGGTTTTAGTTCCCTGATTCCAGTGAAAACATCGCATGCTTCCTTTTTTCAAGTCTGAACTTCATGATTATTTTTCTGTAATCCACTTTTAATTGTAAGTACCCAGCATTCTGCTAGTTCATGCAGTACCAAATGACACAAGGTTGCTCTGGAGTGCTCCAGCGAGTGTCTTCTGGGGAATATTGAAATTCCATGGAAACAACACGAGAACCATTATCTGAAACAGCCTCTTCAGGCAAACCATATGGGGTGACATATTCTGCACTGCTTCGATAATCCAGGCACAGATATGTTCACTGGTAACTCTGCAGTAAGCATCACTCATTTGCTTTGTCTGTGCAGTATTAATGAGCCATTTCAATAGACAGCGGGTTTCAACTATATTTGCTGCATATTCATGTTGCTTCCTTCAAGTTGTTTCAAAACTCTTTCCACTAGATTAACTTGGAAGTCTCAGTTATTCCATCAGGTGCTGGCGTACTGAAGATACGGGCCATCCTGTCCTTTCCAGCCTTGGCTGAGGAGTGGGGCTAATGTTTGGAAGAGGGATGGTGTTCTAGGCACACTGCCTTTGCTGAGCCTCCCTCCAGCAGGGAGCCTCTGCTCCTGCTTCCAGCACCGATTGCTGGGGCATGTAAAACCTCCTTATTGCTTTCTGGTTCATCTGTCATCCGAGGGTTGTGGTTGCTAGCAAGCAATGGAGCCTTAAGACACTTTGCAGATGGGCACACATCATTATGGTGGAGTGAGAATGTGCAAAATCCAGAATAGAGAGCACAGAGGGAAGAGTTAGATGTTTTGACTAGGCTGATCTGTGCTGTGCCTGTAAGCATCTCTGTGTGATGCTACTATGATATAGTCAGGGGAGATTAAACACTCCAGATGTTGGTCTAGGTACCTACAGAGCCTCCCCACGTCTGAACACAGCATTTTCCATGGGGCATAAATATTCAGAAAAAATTCATACACAGGTTTTAAAAACCACAAGAGACCTGGAGAGGGGCTTTGGAAAAGGGCCTGTAGGGCCAGGCCAAGGGGAATGGCTTTAACCTGCCAGAGGGGGACTGAGATGAGCTCTTAGGCAGAAGCTCTTCCCTGTGAGGGTGCTGAGGCGCTGGCACAGGGTGCCCAGAGAAGCTGTGGCTGCCCCATCCCTGGCAGTGTTCAAGGCCAGGTTGGACACAGGGGCTTGGAGCAAGCTGCTCTAGTGGAAGGGGTCCCTGCCTGTGGCAGGGGTTGGAGCTGGATGAGCTCTAAGGTCCCTTCCAACCCAACCAATTTGTGATTCTGTGGTAATGAATACAGAAGCCTCTGGGGTTTGGCACTGAGAGCCAAACAGAGCACTCTGGTTCATACTGAAAACCACATGAAGGTTTCAGGGGCACCAAAAGTAATTTGACATTTAAGAAATACTATAAATGGCTCCCTTTGTGAGCATGCAGAAACACAGCCCTTAATCTGAGCGTCTGGTTCTGATAGCTACATGGAGCTTAACCTGGACAGCAGCTTAAAAAAACAGAAATAGATTAGTAAGGTTACTTACAGGTCTTCCTACAGAAAGACACTAACACAACTCTTGAATAACCACTTCCCAAGCAAAGGAACTCACATATTTAAACAGAACCACAAGGATAATTGAAAGAGACTGGATGTTGCCATGACCAAACTGGGTTTTTGAGGTGCTGGTAGGTGTGAAGGTGGGGGAAAAAGAGGGGTTTTCAATTTCAGCCCGTTGTTTTTATGCTACAGCTGGTTTACCTTAGAAGAGTAGAAAGTGAGCGCATGATTTATCCAGCAGGATGGAGCCAGCAGTGCTGTGGTTGAGGGGAAGCAAAGGACACAGCTGAGGACTGGAGGCAGCAGCCACATCCTGGAGCAGTTTGTTGCTGTGATTGTGCCAGGGCTGCTGTGCCTCTGGAGCTGGAGGAAGAGTGCAGGTGAGGAGCGCTTTACCTTCTTTTTTGGGAACAATCTTCTGAAGGGAAAAAGCACAGAGTAATGAACAGCACAGATGTCTGTACGTCTGTCCTGCAGCCTTTCAAGTCCTTGTATTTCCTTTCATGTGTTGTTAGAAGTAAGTTTTATTGTATTGCCTTTTCCTTTTCTGTAAAGAGTGAACTGGTAGCATTGCACTGTCTCACCTCTAAGGCCGTGCCTGCTCACTTCTGTTCTCACATCAATCGATGCCCTACCCTGAGTTCCCACTGCCCCTCCAGAGCAGGTTCAACATCAGGTAGCTGTGCTGGTCCCTTTCTTTCTGTCTCTGGAAACTGCAGTAATTTTAAGTATCTCTCTTCAGAGCTGGAGCAGCTTCTCTATTCCCAGGGCCAGACATCCCCCTGCCTTGGCACAAGCTCTTCCCCACGGCTGTCGGGATAGGAGAGCTGGGCTGGTTCAGCTTGGAGAAGAGAAGGCTCCTCAAGGGGACACCTTAGAGCAGCTCCAGTGCCTAAAGGGGCTACAGGAAACCTGGAGAGGGGCCTCGGACAAGGGCCTGTAGGGACAGGCCAAGGGGAATGGCTTTAACCTGCCAGAGGGGAGACTGAGATGAGCTCTTAGGCAGAAGCTCTTCCCTGTGAGGGTGCTGAGGCGCTGGCACAGGGTGCCCAGAGAAGCTGTGGCTGCCCCATCCCTGGCAGTGTTCAAGGCCAGGTTGGACACAGGGGCTTGGAGCAACCCTGCATGACAGTCCTCCCTGAGCATGGCTTCTGGAGGAAGTGCGGAAAGTTCATGCCTGCTCTTGTTGTGTTTTGGGGGTGATTTGGGGTCCCTGCACATGTCCCCCTTGGGTGCGTGGGTCAGGGTGTGTGTTAGGCAGGCAGCTCTGCTCAGAGCACAAGAGGTGTGCTATGAGATGGGACATGGTGCATGGTATTCCCTGTCAGGTATGGTGTTTTGGGAAGCTGTTGGGAATTGGGCTCTTCCTCAGCAGTGAACCAGCTTCCTAATAGCATTTAAGTTTGTTTGCAGGGCAGGAGACTGACCTGGGCTGTTCGAGACCTGTGTTGGTCTGGTTGTACCCTCGTTTACTCACCAGGAGCTTTTCTGTCAGCAGAGATGATGCTGTTTTGCTGCAGTAAAACATCAGAAGTCCCTGGTGAGCAGCGCAGCCTTGATGCTATGGGGACCAAGGGAAGATGCATGCATGGGAGAAGATGCCAGGCAAGTGCTGAGTGATCAAAGCTGAGCCCCAAAGAGGCTTTGACATCTGGTACCCCATTCCTGGTGGGTTGGTTGTGCCCAAAGGTCGAGGCAGGGGGACTGGAGGGGATCCCTTGCTGCTAGCCAGAGGCGTGGTGATCCCAGGTGATCCTGCAGGGTCCCCCATGACTGAGGTGATGGCAGAGGGCTGTTTTCAGGGCTCTGCTGTGAAAGCAGAGAGCTGCACTACAGAGGCAGAGCTGGACTGTGCTGTCCCCATAGGAAAGGCTGATGTAGGTCAAACAAGTAGGAGCACAGGTAAATCTGAGCTGAAAAGTTAGTTTGAGGAACACCCAGAAGACCTGATGCTTACCTGAAGAGGTATGAGGGCTGCAGGGGTCAGCTGCTGAGCTGAGGCTGTTTGGAGTGAGTAGTGGCTGGCTTTTGGACCGAGATCATCTTTATGGTGCTGGGATTGCCTGTGGGCATGTTCTATAGGTCTGTCTGGGACTGAAGGTGCAGCTGGTTCAGCCTTCCCTTGTCAGATGCTCTTCATTGTAGATAAAAGCTTTTTCTGATCATTCTAGTTCCCATGGCTGGGAAGGGGTTTATAAATGGCAAAGGCTGTCCTGTGGGTCAGCTCTTTGGGAAGTCTCTCATCTGTCTATCCCAGGAGCAGGTTGGCAAACCATCCTCCTTACTTAAATGTGCTGGCAAGAACAAGCATCTCTGTGCTTGAACTTCAGCCCACTCAAGGTGGCAGTTCCTGTGGCTGCCCTGTGCTTTTGGATGAGCTTTGGGATTTGCCCATCTGTGGCTGAAGCTCTAACTCTTGCTGGGTATAGAGAAGTGAGTCCCAGGGCTTGGCTGGGGGCTGCTGGAGCTGCACAAATCCAGTGCACGCATCTGCATGCCTGACCCTGCTTTGGTTAAAGCAGGGGATTGAGTCCTATTGTTTGTAGATAAAAGCTTTCTATTTCTGCTATTTCTCTGTTTTCCTAAGTGCTTATTGCTAAGAATAACTGCTATTTCACCTCTTGCCCGCCCTCCATCAGCTGCTTGGAGCCACCATTTTAGACGTCATCTCGAGCTGCAAAGAGTAAGTGATCTTGTTTTCCAGAGGCCCTGTTTGAAGGAGCAGGAACTGGATTTTGCCTTCATTTGCTCTTTAAGGAGCTGCCACAGGAGGAAAGGGCCTGTGTTTGCCAGTTCCTCACAGCCCTTGCTGAGAAGCTGCACCACAGCAAGCGCTGAGAAGGAATCAAGCATGCTGGCATCACACTGGGCTAGTTTTCCTCTTGGAAATCAAAAGTGGAGCAAAGCCACAACTGAGACAAGGTGACTTTCAGTTTATTCAATGCATTGCTTACTTAATGCCTAGTAACAGATCTCTGGAGCGTACCTTGCTCTGCTCCTCACTCTCAGCTTGTCCCACAGCTCCTGCATCAGAAAGAGCTTGTTACTGTGCTAGTGGAGCTAAAAGGGCTGTCTCAGTGTTGCAACTCTTATTTCGTTGCAGGGGGTAAGTGCCATAAGGAGCTGTTTCTCTGCCTTTGCAGATGCTCCTTTCAGCCCAGCTTGCTTTTTACTCCATTTCAGCAAGGGCCCAGCAAACACAGCTCCAGCTGGGAAAATGAGATGTGAGGGCTCCCAGCTTCTTCCCAGCAACCTTCTCTGCTAATAACTGCAGGGAAACCAAAACAATACAAATAACCTGGCTTTGGCTGCTAAAATCCAGGTAAAGCAAAGCAGTGAAAAGCTGTGATAGAGACCTTGGAGATCCTTTCTCTCTTCCTTTGCTCTTGCACTAAACCAGGGTCTGCCTTGGGCTCTGGGCCCTGACTGGGGGAGGCAGTTTCCAAAAGCAGCACAAAGGAGTTTTATTTGTTCTTTGCTTACCACTTTCTCTGACCTCCAGTGCTGTGCTGGGAGCAGGATCTGTACCAGGCAGGATGTAGGCCCCAGAGGGTCATGGAAGAGAGCCACTGTCATCTGAGGTGATTTTTAACACTAAACTGTGTGATTCACTTTGCTGACACCACCACTCCTTGCTGCAGAGCAGAACCCTTCACACCAGAGCAGACTCATGTGCCATCCCTGGGCTGAGTCCTGATTGCCCTCCCCTCAACCAGGTACAGCTTCATCCTGCCCCTCTTCTTCAGACTTACTTACTGGTGAATGGCTTAAGAAGATGTACCCCTGCTTCCCATCCCCATGCTGATGGCTGTGAGACTGGGCCCTGTCCTTGCCTCACTGCTGTGTAATGGGACTGATAGTCCTGAGAGCACATGGAAGGCTCCTGGGGGCACCAAAGTACACAGACTCCCGGGGCAGGAGCACCAAAAAGCAGGTTGAAAGCTCTGGGGCACCCCAAAAAAGCACACCAAGGCCCTTAAGGACACTGGAAAAGAAACAGAGGGGCTCCAGGGGTACCCGAAACCACCCTGAGGAGCACTGTTGGAGAAGGACAAACAGAGCAGTGCTGGTTTCCCTCTCAGATCTCCAACTAGCTAGGAAACCACAAAAGCAACCCAAAAGGTTGGGAAAACCAAAGGTGAGACACGGATTCCAAGGACTGAAAAGCAGACAGAGGGCTTTGAGGTACCTTGGTAGCACCAGCAAGCATATACAGGGGTGTGGGGGGCAAAATAAATGGACCAAAGACTCTGGGGACACTGGAGGGGCACCAAAACCAAATCAATTGCTTATGTAAGTGACCTGATTCATTTTTCTCAGCAGAAGGAGTCCTGTGTCTGTCCTCTTGCCTCTGTGTGCTGGCATCCAGGCTTCAGATGAATTTCATGGTCTGTAATCATCCCGGGAGAATTTCCCTCTTGTTCATCCTACGGAAGAGAAACTCTCCCATTTCCACTTGGATCTTACAATAGCTTGTCAGTGACAAAACATTCCCAAATCCTCTCATTTATCAAATGGCCAATCCTGTTAACAGCTTAAGAAACATAATTACCTGCAATCTCTTCTGCTATTCATTTTATGCCTACACTTCCCTCTCTCTGGCAGCTTCCCAGCAGGCAAGTCAAGAGCTGAAGCATGGCTGCAGCTACCAAGTGCTTGAGCAATGCAATTTCCTCTAATCACCTGCACAATGATAGCAGGAGTTTTGCTTCCCTGTTTGTAGCAGCAAGGAGCAGGTGAGGAAGGCAGGCATAGAGCCAAAAGCATCAGCTGACAGTTGTGGGTAAGTTTCCAAGCATGGCTACAATTTAAGTGCTGTATGGTGGGAACATTATTGATTAGGGTCTACTTTTAGGGCACAAGAAATCACAGCTACACTTGGCATGAACACAAGTGAGCTACTATCCATGGGCACAAGTGGGCTCTGAGAGAAGCAGCTAGAGAGGCTGATGCAGGTTTGGGTGCTGGAAATGGCTGTGGGAGCTTTGTCAGCAAGAAAGCAGGGCCTGAAATATCAGTGAGCTGGTGAACTAATGGAGAAATTGGGATCAGCTGGAGACAGTCCTGATTATTGCATTGCTAACAGAGACTGATTTTGTCTTATTTCACAGTGTATCTACAGCTTGTGAGAGACTTTGGCTCAACTCTCAGGGAGGATTTACAAGAGCAGTGCTTTCAGGCTGGAGATCTGCTGGCTTCCTGAATGTTGGGTATGTACAGGACAGCTTGATCCAAAGAGAAACCCATAGGACCACCGTAGCCTACCCTAGACCTGGGAATTAGAAAATTCCTAGCTCTGTTCTATCCATGCTGGCTGCTGAGGAAGCTGCCTTTGTGCCTTAAAATCTTGTACTAGCCTGACATTATCACTGTGCATTTAACTGGCCAAGGCATGCTTCAGCCTACAGTCTCCAGTTAGACCTGCCTTCTGTGTGGAAGGGTTTTTCTTACACCTACTCTACTCCTCTTTTCAACCCTGTCAGCTATTTTGGATCCTTAGGGGTTGGGATAAATGAGGTGCGTTTCTTCCGACACCTTCCAGTGTTATTTTTAAGCAATTTTTTATGCTGCTTGCCAACACTTTATCCTTACAGTTCTTTGAATGTTGTATTAAAAACCCCTATGAACAAGCTGTATACAAATCAGAAGTTTGGTGTTTTGTTTTGTTTTAAATCAGACATCATCTTAAGAGATTTGGAACTTTTTGATCTTCCTAAGATACTGAATACGAGTATATTTTGGTCACTATCGTAGAATAACCCTTTCTTTAACAGCAGTTTGAACCTCAAATGCCAGTTTTTGCAACTACTTTTCCCAATGGAAATAGTTTAATTCACTTCTCAAAATACAGGCACTTACATTGATGAAATTTCAGTGTAACCCATATGCCACCCAGACCAAGACACCAAAGAACTTTGATGGCTCTGGGCTACATGCCCAGAGCTGTGTGCTGCTTGGGAACAGCAAGGACTCGGATATAGAATCATAGAATCCCAGACTGGTTTGAGTTGAAGGAACCCTAAAGCTCATTCAGCTCCAACCCCTGCCATGGGCAGGGACACCTTCCACTAGAGCAGCTTGCTCCAAGCCCCGTCCAACCTGGCCTTGGTACGAGACTGTGTGAGTGCTGAGGAGGGACTGAAGTAAGCTGTTTTCTTGTGTTTAACAAGATATAATATATACATAAGGAAAGTAAGGACTGCAAATGAAGAAACTGTACCTAAAAGAAAATGAAGACTGCTCCAGTAAAATATAAAATGGGACAGACATGCTTTTATACAAGAACTTGCTATTTCTTTTATGATATTTATTTCAAATCATGCAAACCCTTCAGAGCAGCCCTAATGCCCAGTGGAGTTCTCCAACCTAAATGTCTTGTCATCAGTGCAAGAAACAAAGATAATGTAATTTGAATACTGGATGCAACAACATAGGCTGCTCTGGAGGCAGATTCTCCTTGCTCCAAATGGGAATGATGGCTCCAAACAGACTCACCAGAACAGACTGAAAAGCAGATGTCTCATTTGTGAGGAAATGGCCAATCTCTCAGCTGTTTTCCCCCCTATTTCTTTCTTCCTAGAAAGGAAAAAAAACAAACCAGTTGCATAAAGATGCTGCTGTTTCAAAGCAAAATTTTAAACATTGCTGATTTGCAAAAGGCATTTCAGCATTTTCCTGAGAATAAAATGCTGCTCTGATGCTGTGTTTAAATATTTCATTCCAGCTTCCCGAACAAACTTAAAATCATAATAAGTCATTTTGACATAAAAGCGCGCTTCTCAGAGGTGCCCGTGGCTCAGACATCTCCAGCTTCAAGCACAGCTGCAGGAGCTCTCCCTGCTCATGGCTGATCAAAGACAAACCATGCTGCCACCCACGAGCTGCTGCTCATCCCCAGCACCCAACCCAGGAGGAAAAACGGATCCTGAACATCCCGAGTGCTTCTTCCTGAGGGGCGACGCTGTCTATGCAAAATACACGTCGCTGTCGTAACCCTACTGTGAAAAGGTGGAGGGAGTTTAGCAAACAAACATCCTTCGCCTTGCTTTAAATCATGCTGAAGTAAAACATCAGCTGGTGCTGGCTGCTCAATTAAGCAGTTTGTCGTGCAGCCTTTGGAGAGGAAAACGCTGAGAAATAGGATTTCACAGCACATGCGTATTGCGTGGAGGAAATGTTGCCTGAGAAGCTGTCCAAACCCACCTGCAATTCCCATGTGCTGCCATTCCCTGTCATGCAACACGTGTTGCCCTCAAATTTGGAGGATGGCTTATGGCTGTATGTACCTGTGGTGTGATGACCACCAGTACGTGTATAGGTCACAACAGGTATATGTTTTAGTTAATTCCATGTGTAGTCCTGATGTGGGAGCAAGGAACCATTGTTCCCCTCCTAGAGGCTTGAGCGCATTTTTTGGGGGAAATGTTAGATCTCCTTTTCCTCAGTGAGGGTATTTAACCCCAAACCACCCATTGCCACGCTGGTGAGGGAAGGGGTGCTGTTTACCTGTCAGTGCTAGCACTCTGCCATGGGAGCTTGTCCATCATGTCCACTGTTGCAACTGAAATTGCAATTGTTCAGCCTGGAAAAGAGAAAGATCCTTAAGGGCAGACCTTAGAGCAGCTCCCAGTGCCTAAAGGGGCTATAGGAAACCTGCAGAAGGGCTTTGAAAAAGGGCCTGTAGGGACAGGCCGAGGCAAATGGCTTTAACCTGCCAGAGGTGAGACTGAGATGAGCTCTTAGGCAGAAGCTCTTCCCTGTGAGGGTGCTGAGGTGCTGGCACAGGGTGCCCAGAGAAGCTGTGGCTGCCCCATCCCTGGCAGTGTTCAAGGGCAGGTTGGACACAGGGGCTTGGAGCAAGCTGCTCTAGTGGAAGGTGTCCCTGCCTATGGCAGTGGTTGGAACTGGGTGAGCTTTAAGGTCCCTTCTACCCAAACCAGTCTGGGATTCTATGAAATGGTGATGCTGGCCATGCACCAGGACTCTTAGTTTCTTGTCCTCATTCCCTTGCTCCTCATGGTCATGTTCCATGCTGGTTTTACTGTGGTTGAGATCTGCAATGTCACCATTGTGGCAGCTCTCCTGAGGTCTCTGAGGACCTGTTGTGGGACTGAGAGCATCCTGACTCCATTTCCCGACCATGGGAACCTACATGTCCACTCGATGAGACACATGGGTATTTCTTCTGGTGTTTCTGCCCTTCATAACACCTTGATCAATGGGGTGTGTGTAGGGCTCAGCCTGCAGAAGCCCTACATAGCTGTGGGTGTCCCAGAGGACACATTATAGGAGAGGACAGGATTACTTGCTGTCTCACCATATTGCTCCCCCCAGCCACCAAACATCCTTAACAGGCTGTGCAAGCAGTCGCGTGTTCTGCATCTCCATCATTCTCGCTGAGTAGCTTTGATGGCTCTTGATGCGTGCGAGTGAGGCCCCATCCAGCATGAAGGGAGGGAACAAGCAAGAGGGGCTTATGTTTTCCACTGATAAATGTATTAGTCTTTATAGCAGAATTTAAACTACAACCCTTTTTCAGGCACCTCAGCACTCCGTTATTTTGCAGGCCTTGTAAGGGAATGTGATTTTGCCTTTTAACTGGAGTGTATCTTATGCTAAGCAGGGAGATTAAGAGTAGGGATCCAAAAGAAGTTGCTGAATGGCAGAATTGCCTTTATAAATAACATTAATAATTTATCCGATCCAGGGGTTTTTTGGGTAAATGAAATACCTGCCTCTGTGTAAAAGCCCACTGACTAGAAACACATCTCTGCTTTTATGAGGCTTGGATTAAAGAAGGAAAATGCTAAGGGGCTTATCTTTGCTTCAATTTGCAGCCCTTCCGGCTAGTGGCAAACTCATTTAAGAAGCTCCTGTGTTTGTGCCAACTCTGCTTTTGTTCTCGGTGCTGGAGCTTGGCTGCATTTTTTGCCACGGCACTGGAGAGAACAGAGGGGAAGCAGTTTGTTTTCTTGACCTCAGATTACCAGACAAAAGCTAGCAAGAATAATTTCCCTTGGAGCCCTCCCTATTATGGGTTGCTTAAAGAATCTGCAGGGCGGCTGCAGAGAAGCTGGCGGTCCAAGGAACCCACGTGTGAAAGAGGACAGGGCTGGTGGCTGAATGGAGATGAGTCGAAAGAGCATGGGTCATCTTTCTGCTGGGACGCCTGTATCCTCCTGCATGGGCAGTCATGAAATGGCAAAATTCATCCTCTGCAAAGCCCACGAGCTGTCACTTCTCAGCTCTTCTTTTCTGCTGGTAAAAATCAATTGCTTCAAAGTTCACTGAAGGTGAAGGCAACATTTGCTTTCCATTCAGTGCTAAGCGGGCCGTCTTGGAGAGCAAATGCTCTCGAAAGGGAGAATAGCAAAAATCAGCAGAAAAATTCTCTGAATAATTTGGACTAGGAAAGGAAAAAGCAATTTACTCCCAGTTATTCCACAGACAAAAGTATGAATAAAAAAATCAGGAGCTATTTACTCTGCCTGGACTGTTTGCACGAGGTTTATGCTATTCCAGTTTTGCTTCATCAACCCCCAAAGACCTTATCACTGGATCCTCAGGCACTTAAGGAAAGCATGCTAGATCAGCAGGGACCAAAAGCAGAGAAAACAAAAGGGGTCCTAAATCTGAACCATGCTGTTCCTTGAGTGTGCATTGACCTGAATCACAGACCCGGGCTCTGGCCAGCCAACACTACCAGTAGTATTACAAGCTTGGGTGCTTTGTATTCAGATAGGAGGCTGTGGCAAAGGCAGGGTGGGTATTTACAATCTGCTTTAGAAAAACCTTATGCATGTTGTTAGCTGTTCTGCTGTAAAGGCAGTTTATGTTCCCCACATCTGCTGCTTTAGGTGGCCCAGCCAGACAGCTGGCACAGCTCAAAATGCCAGAGACAGTGCTGCTGCAATGAGGAGAAGAAAAAGAAAGGAGGATGAAGACCTCGTAAGCTTTATCAAAACCCACCAAAAAGTCAGGAGATTTGGGGATTACACCGTGTAATTACATTACCTTAAGAGAAAAGTTTACTGAAAATTCCCTGTTTTGTGTTGCCAGTGCTTTTCAGCCATTAGTAACACATAACTTCTCATTGTCTTTTCCCGAGGCACAGATGGGCTAATTTTCAGCTACCTGATAATTACACATTGTTTGAAACGGTATCAAAAGCTTCTGTTCCTGCATCCCTCCAGCAGCAGTTCTTACAGCTCACAAAGTCCCTTGTCTGGAGCTTGCGAGGGTCCTCATCCATCAGTTCATCCATCCATCTGGAGGGCTGAGAGTGGAGGGGCAAAGCCTCCATGCTCACACACAGGCTTCACAGGCTGCTTGTACAGATCTCCACCATTTCCAAACCAGGAGGAGAACCTGAAGCTCCATCAAAAGCATCCTTTTGGCTCGATGCCAGTATCCGTTTGATATGGGATAAAGCTGCACCAAAATGTTTCTGCTTAAATACGCATGGGGATGCTGATGTCATGGGGGAATTAAGGATAAACCAACATGAGATGCTGGAAATCAGCGTAACAGAGGTTTAGTCTCAATTTCCCTTGGGAAAGGAGCTGTCCTTGGGCAAAGCTGTGGTTTGCCAAATTGGAAAAAGGCAGCTCATTGGCTGTATAGAGAGGAAATCTGACAGTACCTCCTCTAGAGCCACACTGGAGGTTGGAGAAAGAAAACTCCTTCTCCTCCATTCCTCTTCTTCAGGAGGGGTTGCTCTGCCTATCGAGCTCTGATTGGTTTTGGAGGGTGTTTTCTTTGTTTGAGGCTGTCCAGAGGGAAAATCCAAAAGGCCTCACTCACATGTTTTCTGCTCTCCCCATCATCCGGTATGCCCGTTGCCATAGGAACAGTCACATTTGGTTGTCATGGTTGAAGGAAGTCACATTGGGTTGACATGACTGGTTCTTGACAAACCCATGTTCTTTGATTTTATTAATCATCACATCTTACAAGTTGCTCAGTTAAGACTTTCTTCCAGCCTCTTTAAGGGAATTGAGATTAAGATGATTACTCATTTTTTTAAGCTATTCTCTTACACAAGAGGTGCTTCTCTCACCTCCAGGGACCTCTACACCTTCATAAATCTTGAAGACAACCACCAAGGGTTCAGTGCTCTTGGGTGCATTTCATCAGATCCTCTTAATTTGAATACATTTGACATATCCCAGTGGCTTTAAACTTCATCCCTTTTGCTGGTTCTTCTCGACAGTTCCCTTCAAAGCCTGTTTCATTAAGTTTCATTCACAATTAACCTTTTCATAAAGACTGAAACAAGGGTGACAGGGCAAATTCCTGCTTTGAGCGCTCAGTCTGTTCTTCCCCAGATGCTTGCATCCCTACACATCTTGCTGTTCTCCTTTTACATCTATTTGCAGACCCTTGCTGGTTGCCTCCAAAACCTTGTGCAGACGTAGCTGTTCTCATGCTGTGAACCTGTATTGTTCCTCTCTTCTCCCTCCAGGCACGTACCTGTTTTGACTTCCCGTACAACTTCTTTCCAGCTTCCAGACCCTGCTGCTGCTGTAATGCCATCTAATTATGCTTCTTATCTGCTTTCACAGAGGAGCACTTTGCTGTTGTGCACCATCTTTGGTGTCTTCTGGGAACTACCAGTTCTCATGTGTTTCCTTACCGTGTATTTCCATCCAATTGAGCTTCTCCACCGCTCCCCTGATCTCTGTCAGATGCTCATTATTCTGTTATTTCTATTCTTCTGTCTTACTACGCTGATGGGAAGCAGACACTCGGGTTATATATAGCTTCTCCTATTCCCAAATCCCTTGGGATGTAAGTTAAGGACTAGCCTGATAAGGCTGCAAAACTGAAAGCTCCTGAAATCCTCCTGGCAGTAGTCCCAGGTGGGACTGACTCGGCATTGCTGTGGAGAGGCTGTTGCTTGGGAAAAAAAGATCCAGAACTGGCCAGTTGGTCAATGTTGGACAGTATGTGGGAAGCGGGGCTCTGCAGCAAGACTCCCCCAGACCCTGGCATCTCCTGGAGTCATTTCTTATGTTTGCCATGTACATGTGGATGGGATGATATACTGGAAAGGATGGGATCCAGAGGGACCTGAACAGGCTGCAGAGGTGGGACTGTGCGGACTCATGGAGCAAAACAAGGCCAAGTGCAAGGTCCTGCACATGGGTTGAGGCGACTCCAAGCACAAACACAGGCTGGGGGAGGCTGGACTGAAGATGATCTTTAAGGTCTCTTCCAACCCAAACCATTCTGTGATTTTATGAAGAAGCAGCTCTGCTCATACCTGACTCTTCAGGCGATGTTCATATCCTCATGAGGCTCATGGGGACCAAAGCGTCGCCCTGTTTCTGAGTGTGTTTGGCTGGAGCCTCCATGCCGAGGCACTGTTCACATGCCTGACATTAACTGTGGGGGCCGGAATATCTTCTAATTTCAGTGGAAATTGGAGTCGAGTACCACTGGAACAGCAGCTCCAACAGGGAGGAATCTCAGGTGCCCTCGGGGACATTTCACGTTCGGATCATAGAGTGCAGTTTGGTTTGGGGTTTTACAAATGCTCTGGCGCTCACTTGCTTGCCTCAAGTAATGAAGCAGCGAGATAAAAGACAGGGCCACAGAAGGTTGTTAAAAAATTACTTGCAAATTAATATGAGGACAAGGTTTAGGAGTTAATATCTCATAAAGACCCTTGAAATCGGCGTACATGCGTGCACCCTCTGAGCACTGACATTCACAGGCACAACTACACTGGTAAAGCGAGCCCAAGGGGCTTGATTAACAGGAAGTTTTCAGAATGCCAATTAGAGCAAAGTTTACTGAACAAATTGTTTGCACTTGTACCCTAGAACCATCATGAATTTTAATTCAGCATGGATTTGTGTGGCTGAAACAATAATTAAAGATACATGAATGCCTCACGTTCTGGAGATGGCCCTGTGGCTACGCTGACATTTTGGGTGAGGATGGGGGTGATGAGCCTGTTTGGGCAGGGTTTGCTCTCACTTGGAAGGACATGGGGTGCAGGAGGCTTTTCCCCATGGAGATAGATACAAGCAGTTCCCTGAGTACTGAGCTCACTGGTTTGTGCTGCATTTAGTCTTGGATTTCCTTTTTCTTTTTGTTTTTTTTCCCCCTATTCATTTATGTAATCTGACACAGAATGATCCATCTGCTGTTTTCTTAGGAAAAGGTGGCTTGTCTTTTCCTGCCATCCTCTCCTGGTGGCTGTGAGATGTTAAATCATCTCCTTGGGTTCCCCAAGGCTGTGCTCTCCCTGCACCCCAGGTGAGGACACATGTGGATCCCCTTTCTCCTTATCCCTGCTCCTGCTTGGCCAGTCCCATGTTTGGAAGTGGGAAAAAGCTTTGCATGCCACAGTCCCACAGGGAGCAGCTTTGCTGGAGGAGAAAGCAGTGCTACCACAAAAGTCCCCATCCAGCAGTGCGATGTATATGTATGTTGTCATTTGAATTCTCTCCCCATGCTGGTAAATAAGTTACACGTATTTTTAGAAGAAGTTATTTTCTGTCACTGCACTTTTAAATGTCAGGCTCCTGGAGAGGAGTCTTCAAGATAGTTTAAGGTCAGTCAGGCTTCAAGGAAGGAATACGCAGGTGGGGAAGGAAAGTGGCTGTCGGGCTGTGGTCCAGCCTAAACCCAGGCTGTGGTCTAAATGATGGGCAAGTACAAGTATCCCTCATGGAGGTGACGCCCCAGGGCATTGACCTCCCTGTACCTCAGCAATTGCCCTCAGTTATGGAGTAACTAAAGACTTTGACAAAAAACCCCAGTAGCTGAAAATTATCTGGCCCATTAGTTCAGGAGTACAAATGAATAATGCATACATCCAAAGGTTGGTTTACAAATGATTAATTAACCTTAAGAGAGGTTATCCTCACTGGCAACATCCATCGTCCTAAACAGCTTAATCATATCTGCACAGAACAGTGTATTTTAAACACTATAATTTAAGAAGAGCATTAAGGAATCATGGATCAAGTGCCGGATACTGGCGCTGATCACCGCAAAGTCAGGTACATGCCAGGCACAGGGAGGGCAGCCAGGTCTGCAGGCTTCACTGTGCTATGTGTGGTACATGACAGGCTTGAGCATCACTTACCAGAGCCCATCGCCTGCTCGTGCTAAGGCATGGCTGGGAGGTGCAGAGGTTGCGCCTTTGCTGTAATAAACAGTTCAGGCATTTGTTTTCCCTGCTTTGATGTAAGAGTGTGGCTCTGCTGCCAGAGAGAGCTGCTCCCAGTGCCTCCCGCTGCGATGAATGGCCTTTAGTCCCAGGGCTTTTTGCATTTGTTATCAGCCATTTGTTATGTGTGTCTATTAATAAAGTGCTCCTAAAAAGCACTTCCACTGTCTGGAGTTGTTTCTGGCTGATACCTGGATGCCTCCACATGCAGTATCTCTGCTAAAGCTTGCTCATCTTCTGCAGGGACCAGGGGTGGTCACTTCACTCCAGGGAGAGCTTAACCCCTTTGCCCCTTACTCAGGCTTCAAGAGAGCCCCCAACTCCAGGCAGGGTCACTTATAATGATCATGATTTAGTTTTATTTTGGCAGAGGCACGTTTGGCTGCAGGCTGGCTGCTGTCAATACCTCTCACAGGACAAATAGCCTATGGGAACCCCATCTACATCAGAATATTGCTCTTCCTCCTACCCATTCTTTCCCCTGCAAAACCAAGCAGGACAAGGAGCTCACCATGGCCTTCTCATACAAAGAGCAATTAGCCCCTTTCCCCTGACAAAGCTCCTACACTGGATGCAGCTGGGTTTGTTTCTTACCTCTTTTTAATCCATGAAGCAGCAAAAGCAGTGCATATTCACACCTGAGTACCCATGGCCTGACGTGCATGAAGTTCCTGAAGTGTTTCAGCTGAGCTTCAGTGTTTCCGAGAGCAGAAGGGTCACTCGCAGTGGAGAAAGAGAGAATCTGGGGGGAAAAAAACCCAAAAATACACATCCTAAGCAGTTGGGTTTGCATTGTCTGGCAGGTCCAAACTCCAGAGAGGTGTCTGAAGTACAACTCTGGTGGGGTGTGAAGCCCAAAACTGAGTTCTATAACCCATAGAATCATCTACTGTCCTGGATGCTGAAGGTCCCCATGCTCATGGTTTAACCCAGAAATGATGGGAAGCCCATGCAAAGCTTCGTGCCAGCACTAAGGTGGTGGACCACTGAGTTTTTCCCACCTGTCTGCTCATCTCCCATGTCTCCTGGCTGCCACACAAAATGACTCGTGACCTGCTGGAAACGGGAGCAGTGGAATGGTGGAGACTATCGGAGCGATGCCAGAGGGGTAGCACCCGCTGTGTCTGCTCTGCCTGGTGCTCCTGCAGCTCAGGCATCTCCTGGAGCTACAGGTTTAATACACATAGTTATGCATTTTTACGTGAGGTTCTTTCCATAAGCATGAAAATGATTTACAACATTTCAAATTTCATTTTTTTAATCCTTTAAAATTAAAACAAATCTTTTCTCTGCTTTGCCCAATTTTAAGGCTGCCCTTAAGCTCTTGCAGAAAAATATGGATGGAAGAAACTCCTGAAATCCCCAACCACTGGCAACCAAATTGGTATTTTACAAGTTAAGTGCTATAACAGAGGGAACATACATGTTTAATTTGGAAATGTTGATTCCAAATGGATTTTTGTTTAAAAAAAAAAACACCACAAAAAACCACCTTCCCCCAAGCAAGTCAATATTTGTAATCAAATGGAAATTTCCTTTGGGAATTATTTATTTTCATGAGGGCTAATTTTTGCAAGGGAAAATTCTACGCAGGAAGGTTTTCAGTTGCTTTAAACCAGCTTTAGGAATCTGGGTGATGGGAGGGGGCCCAGGAAATCCCACTCATGCTGAAGCTCAGTTGCCTTTGATGAGGGTGAGCTGATGAAAGAGTTTAAACTGATTCTTTCCACTTTGAAGAGGGTAAAGAGTGAACAGGAAGGAGGGAAAGGGAGAAACAGGAAAGAAGGAGGCATTCAACACCAATTCCCTGCTTTGTATTTCTTGAGAATGTAGCAGCATGGCATGGGATTCACCACGGGCAACATCAGACATCAAACTGAGGCATCCCAGCTGGCTACTTTTGGCTTCCCATACACCAGAGGGAACACAAAGCACTCTGGGATGCTGCATCATTCACCTGCTTATATCTGACATCCACTGCAGGGTGAGATGAGTTGTGCCACTGACTTTATCTGCCTTGAACAGATGAGGAGCTGATGGTGACAGGTTCATGTTCACCATAGCCCAGTGAATCCCATTTGAGCTGCCTGACCTGCTGTTGATTTACTGGTGGAGCAGGAGCATCCCTGAGGGTACTGCAGCCCCTCCATGGGTAACACAGTATGGGCCATGAGGAGGAACAGGCACCTTATACTACTATTAGTGCATTAACAGGGATTCAAGCCCAAAGAGAAGACACACATGGTTTCCAGCACCCATAGGGAAGTCCTTTAGAGCAAACTGTCACGGCTCAACCTTAAGATGATTTTCTTACAGAATTTGTGTCCGTTTTACCACAACAGTTGGGGTTAATGATGTGCATAATTTACATTACCATGCCTTTTATTTTTGTATTATGATAAATTGCCTACCTTCATGTTCCTCTTTATTATGATGCGCTGGGAGCACAATATAGTGGTAGAAAAACAACAGTATAGCACTGCACTGTCAGCCTCCAACACAGAACCAGCACACCCAGGCTGCAGCCATCCCCGGATGCACAGCACCGTGTCAGATGATTAGCTCCAAGGCAACTGCCAACATGCGGTTTTAGTGGAAATGAAAACAAGGTAATTCAAGATTTATTTTCTCTCTAAGAAAGCTCCAGGAGGCAGGAGCCAGCCCCCAGCATCTCCCATAAAATCTCCCAGCACCGGAGCTCAGCCTCTGCCTGTGGATCTGTGAGAGACCTCGTCAGAAGGAGGAGAGTTTTCCCCCTTGTCCCCACACTGTATCCTAAGGAGAGTGCTGGAGATGGCTGGACTCTGGTTTCCCAAAGGACATAAGCACACCTTGTGTGGTTTTAGATCTAGGCATGCCTCCTGGGTGGCTCCTAATCACCCGTCCTTGTAGCTTCAGAAACATATCCCGATTATTTCCCAAGTATTCATTTACCTCCAGAACATTGCTGTCTTAGCCCCCTTTCTAATGGATTAGGGTGAACAGATAACCCAGCAAAGCTCCTTATTAACAGTTACCTACTATGCCCAAGTACAATCCATGCCTGGACACCGATACAGCCATATGCCGTGGCCAGAGAAGGTACCTGCTGAAAACACTTAGGAACTGGGAGGAAAATGATCAGGATTAGTGGAGTGATTAATTCAGATTATTGAAGACCATCCTTTAAAGATGCCCTAAATGTGTTAAAAAAAAAAAAGCCACACTGATTAAAAAGGCAATGATAAAGAAGTGCCTTGGTGAGATGAATGGTGAAAGCAGCAACAAACCCAAATAAAACTACCTATATGATAAATGGGATGAGAGCAAGCCAGCAGCAACAGCCATCGGTCAGAAAGCAGGAGATGCAAACAGGGCCTGACAGTAACTTGGGTCATGAAAGGACCCTTAATAGAGATGGAGAGGTGGTTTCCCAGTCCAGGTGTTTGAGTTTGTGGTTCCATTAGCAGTCAGGAAGCACGAGAGGGCTGTGTCAGAGATTTTAAACAGAGTCTTGCTGTCATCTTCTGGATGATCATGAACTGGTTATGAAGTATTCCTGCATCAGATACAGGTTCTTTCCAGAAATCAGAAAACCAAACCTTGGAAACCTAACTCTTCAGGTGAAAATGCAGAAAAACTTCTGTTTGGAGCTTCTGTTCAATATTTTAGCTCTAATATCACTCTTAAGGACACAGAAAGGAGATCTCTTGTAGGGTTTCCAGGTCTTCCAGAGGACTGACGTCACCTGCAGGACCTCAGACCTGATGTGTTCAGCATGCTAAAGTTGGACATGGACAGCTGGTTTGGAGCAAATCTGGCATTTCCTGGGGCAGGAGACACCACGTGCATGTGCAAGACCATCATGGGTGCTGGAAGGCATCCATGCAGCTATGCTGGTAACTCCAAACCCCGATCCCTCCTCCTGGGAGCTTTGCCCACTGTACATGCACAGAGGAGCCAGATACCACAGCAGGCAGCAGTGGGAGAGATTGCTGCTGTGAGATCTGAGCACAAAGTGGCTTCAACCACTGCTGGCATTGGCACAGCAAGCGAGAAGACATTTACTTCCAGGAGCAAACACAGGGAACTGCCAATTGGCCAAAATCAAATAAAACATGACCTCTGATGAACTGGAGCCGTAATACTTTCAAACAACCCTGCGCTCAATATTGGCAATGTAATAGTTTACCTTTGAGACACGAGGGCTGAAGGAGGAGCGACACCCGCGGCTCCCGGAGATGTTTCATTACCATCATTGCTGTTACTGATAACAAGGCAGCAAACCTCCACGAGGTCCCCGCGCCGGGCTCCAGGAAAGCATTGCCTGCACCTCTTCCCCAAGGGAAAGCACAAACCCAGGAGCTGGGGTTTACAGGAGCACCTGAACCTTTTCAATTACAGGAAATACAGAATGAGGCAGAACAGAGAGATTCTTTCCTGGCACAAAGTCCTTCCTCTCAGCTTTTGTTTTCAATCCTGCAACCTGCCCGCTACTCCCTGGGTAACCACGCGCACACTCAGCCTTGCTGGCTCCTGGAAAAAGCCCCTTTTAAGTGGGACAGGAACAAACCCTGAGCTAGAAATAATGGGAACCCTTTGGGGAAGAAGTAATAAAACAATCTGAGTTTGATTATTAAGCGCAAAGCAGGAGATGGCAGCTGATGTGCAGTACACACCGCCTCCCAATCAAACAAATACCCAGGGCGCAGTCCTGTCCAGAAGCAGTATAAATATCTCAGCAGCTTATTACCTTGTTTCTTGGATCACTCCAAGCTTCTTGGAACCAGTGTGAAGCACAGGCAAATCCATTAAAAAATTGATTTTTGTTATTTCTCTTCAGCTGTCTCCTCTGACTTCAGTCACTTCTCTCTTACACTTTGGCTGCAGTAAATTCACCCTCTGCCTTTCTTTATTCCCAGCAAGGTGTTCCTCATCCTGCCCTGGAGCCTCCTGGAGTGATCAAGGTAACAGACCCAGCTCCTGGGTACTGGTCTATAAACCTCTTTCTGCCTCTGCCCCAGGACAAAAGAGGCTGCTGCAGGCAATCACAGGCAGGCAGCTTCTCCCTGGCTATGCCTACACCCCAAACCCATGGTGTGGGGAATGCTCCAGGTTACTGGACTAAAGCTCCTTCTGCCAAAGTCTGAGCCTCTGGGGCCAGCTCATCTTACCATGAGATTTATCCAGAGCCCCTGCAGTTCCCCATCCCACATCTACAACCTGAGATCTCCATCATTTGAGTACTTCAAACCCCAGCACAGTCACACAAATGGGAAGCACAGTTGGAGGCAGTTTGGCCTGGATTGTGCGCTTTTGGTTTCCCTAAAAGCTGAAGGCAGGGGAAGCAACAGTCTATGACAACCTCTGTTGCCATACCCGTTACAAACCTTTCAGCAAGCCCCTTTGCAAGGCATATAGACATTTATAACCTGCTGCTTCAGGAGGAATGGGGACACTGCATGGATTGGACATGGCAGTAGCATACGGGGAGCCATATGCTCTGCCAGGAGAGAAGCATACAGAGATTAGCAGGGGCTGACCCCAGGCAGACACGTCTGGGGTTATGGCCAAGGCTGCCACAGACACAGGTCCTGCTCCCTGAACAAACCATGGCTCAGCACACCTCTTCTCTTCCCCATGGGCCAGCAATGCCCTTATTACCTTTGGTGGAAGGATTACATTAATCCACAGCCCACCCTTTGTGCATAAAGCACCCGAGATTTTACCACAGCTGTAAGGGAGGATCTTGCCCCATGATAACAGTGACTACTTTGCACCCTTGTAGCAGCAGCCATGGGCAGTGGCACGCAGGGTACCTGCCCCCTGGCATCCTCAAAACATACAGCCAGGGCCAGGGGAAAATGCACTTCCCTGATGTGATTTGGTGCCCCAACTGCAATAAAACCATTTGATGACCAAGGATTCTTTCCTGCATGGTACATCAGTCAATAAAGCTGTCAAATAGGCAGGGCCAGGAACTGGTTTAGGATGTAGCAGCACAGAACGTTTTCTTCCCCAGCCACCACAGCGCTCACCCCTCCACTGCTGCCCTGGCAGCACAGTCTGCAGCTCTGTGCAGTGAACTGCATCACTGGCACAGCTGGAGTTAACATTGGCCTTGGGAAGCAGGATTGTGTCCGTACACATGTACATATAAAACCGTGTACTTTTAAACCCAGGAAGTTCTCGTCACCTCCCTGGGGTTCAGCTCCCTGCTGCTGCATGGCTGGGTCGGTGCTTGCAGGATGCAAGGGCAAGCAGCAGCACCGGGGCTCACAGCCAAGAGAAATGCTCCCCACAGCAGCACCCTGTGCTCTGGGAGAGTCACAGGGATGGGGGTTTGCAACCCTGGGGCTCCTTGTGTCCATGTCCAGCACAAGAGTCACCGCTGCAGCACAGCCTGGGTAAAACCCCGTGCATGGCTGTGAGCTGCTCTGCTGCGGACAACAGCCACAGTGATGCTGAGCCCGGGGGTCTCACCCAGGCACATCCTGCCCTGTGTGCAATGCAGCAGCCGGTGTGCTGAGGGCTGCAGTCACAAAGGGAGCCTGTAACCCCCCCTGACCAGAGCTGCCCTTTCTCCTGGGCATGGGGCACTACACAGGTCCTTGGTTGCTTTTCAGCTGAGGAGCTGAAAGGAGCTGGCCAGGAGACACACAGCAGGACTTGAAACGCCCCCAAGCTGGAGGGTTGCATGTGCTGCAGCCCTCTCCTCCTGCTTACCTTAATAGCTCAGTGAGCTGAGCACCCCTCCTGTGCCCAGGGAAGGGATACAGCTGACAGCATCCCACCCAAGCCTGGCATCACCTCCCAGCGGGAGGGCAGAAACACCACCGGCTCCTCTGCTGCCTCTTGCCAACAAATCCCGGCTCCTGCAGCCCTCTCGAATCCAGATGCAGGGAAGAACCTGGAAGATGACAGAAAGCTCTCTCATTCCCGCTGTAATTAGTCCCTTTGGAATTCAATTAACAAGCTCCCTGCTGCAGCTATCAAGCTATCATCAGCTGGGCAAACAGCCGTACAAGCCAGGCCAGGTCCTTGTGAGTACAGCAGAAACATTTCAGCATGTCCAAGGGGAGCCTGTCCTTCCATACCCTCTGCAGCTTACTTTAAAGTAGTGCCCTGCTGGTGGGAATTTAAGGGCTCTGTTGGTGATCAGCAGCACCTGTGCTCCCCCTGCTCACCATTCCCAGCTGGAGAGCATCCACCTTTCCCAAGCAGTGCCAGGGAAAAGCATCATCCTGGTGTGGCTGCAGCATCTCAGAGCTCTCCCTGGTCTGGCAGTGTTGGTGCTGTGCATGGTGTGAATACACTTCAACTCTGCCGGCCTTGTGTGCTAGCATGGTGCTGAGCACGTAAGCAGGCACTGAGTGTGATCCCTTGCCTGTCTCTGGGGTGTGTGATTGGGCTAAGATACACACCCGTGATGGTGAATAGTGACCATTACAGCAGGGGCTAGATAACTTTTAATTTTTATGGTTTTCTGGCTTTTTTCTACATTTGCATTTGGCTGGAAATGGGGAAGCTGATGTTTTCTGAGCTGTTCTCCTGGGCTGCTGGAAGTGGGGCTAGGAGAGCTCAATTCAGCCCACTTCTTTTCAGATACAAGGCGAGCAGAGTTTGAAATAGGGCTTTAGCCTGGTGGGGGACTCAATGCCCATCTCCCTCCAGGTGCAAGTTTGGAGCCAGGGAACTGGGATGCTCTATACCTAGAGGGACACTGGGTACAGCCTTGATTGTGTCTGCTGTAAAAACACTGGGATGCAACACCCTGTGCTGAGGAACAGGGCCTTGCACAGAAGTCTGCAAACCTCCCCTGCCTTCAGTGCAGGAAAACTCCTTCGCCTGCTGTGAATGATATTTCAACTTGGCAAACTCTGTTTAAAATGAAACCCACTATGGCAAAGGAAGAAAAAACTCCCTAATGTTTGTACTGCATCAAACTGAGCGATGTCACGTGTCTGGGCTGCCTTGGAAAGCACAGAGTTGCCAAAAGATGGTGAATGTCTTCAATATGAAGTGAGAGGGACCAGAAGGAAGCTGCTAAAGCCTAGGGAAAATTTCCAGTTACTGCTTCTGTAGATGCATTTCTCTTCAAGGAGTATCCTCTGCTTTGATTTAAGGGTGCCCTTACAGCACTGGAGACCTGATAATGGTGGTGGTGGCCACCTGAGATTGATGCATGGACCTTAACGCCAGCGCCTCAGGCAGCGTGTGCTGAAGCACTGACTTCAGCACATACATCCCTGCTCCGATCTCTCCATCACGCACCCAGGATGAGCCTGCAGCTCAGGCTCACCTACAGCCTCAGGGCAGATGTGACCAGGAGCCTCCTGGCTCCCTATAACCTGAATTACTGAATTTCATGCGGTGCCTGTGCCAGTGGGAGAGGAGCACATGGTGTTCCAGCCTAGAGCTCCCCACTGCGCCCTTGCGCAGCGGTGGCATTGTCCTAGGGGGATGTTTGATGTCCCTCCAGCTATTCCCACCCTCACATGGCGTTACAAGCCAGGACGCTGCTGTGCAAAGCCCTGCTGAGGTACAGGACAGCCGGCGATGCCAAAAGCCACCGGTTCCAGGGTATGGATGCCAGTACACCCCAGTGGGTGTTAATGCCTTCTGTAGCAGCACAGAGCCCCTTCCAGCCCAGTGCACTGCCCAATTAAGCTGGGATTAGGCAAAACTTAAATAACATGTGCTACTCGTGGTGGTTTGGCTCCAAGGAGTCCCATTAGAAGTCGTCACGGGAAGGTCTGGGCTCGCTCAGGCAGAAACAAAGCAGCAACAAAATGCTCCTTCCCACCCAAATAACTGCTCTAACAAAGCCAAGCCCTGCCAGCAGTTTATCATGCCTTGCCCATAGCAAAGCCTTCCCTGCCTGCCCAAACAACAGAAGTGGTGTGCTAAAGGAAAGGACAAGCTTGAGGAAGGCTTGAGGGAGATAATTCTTAAAGATGCTCTTTTGGAACCCACATCACCTGCTTTTCACTTTCATTTGCTCATCAGAATCACAGGATGGTTTGGCTTGGAAGGACCTTAAAGATCGTCTTGTTCCAAGCCCCTGCCATGGGCAGGGACACCTTCTACAAGATCAGGTAATGCAGTAGAGGTGGAATGCATCATTTCCCTGGATAAACATCAATTCCCTTGTATTGCTTCATGATCTATAACAAAATAAGGGCCATCTTGCAACTATTTTGCTGATATTCTGCTTGAGTTGTGGTGATTTAACTGAGAGCAAATCTCTAAATGTCCATAATAACCCCTTACTCTCACAAATCACGACTCAAACCTTCCACATCACCTTCTACCTGCTGTGAGCCAACAAACTACAAGGGCTCAAAACTTTTCTTCTGGAATAATAAGGACAATAAACTTCTGCTTCAAAGACAAAATCCACACTCACAAGATGCTTCTGGAAACACATTTCTTTCCCAGCTTATAAAAAACATTGGATCTTTGATGCTGAGGAGAAAACAAAGGAGGGAGTTTATAGTATAGACTCAGTCTAAGTGTATAGGGGTGTATGGATGGAGGGGAGAAGCCTTAGGTGACAGTGGCATACCCCGAGCTGGTGTCATGGGGGTTGATGATGCTCCATAGCCCCATTTTTCACTCTCTTCTCAATACCACGGCGACAGCAGCTTTATTCTGTCATTCTTGTAAAATATTTAGTGCTTTTCTCCACAAATGCAGCAGCGAGTTGGCCACCTCGCAGAGGAAAAGGGGTTTAAAAATTAATTGAAAGCTTTTAAAAATTAATAATTATTTCAGCTAATTAAGGTTGCAGCTTAACTTTTTGTTTTTAAACTGTTAACAGTTTGGGAGCTGCTGCGCAG